TGGGGGATGTCCAACCTGAACCTGCCCTGGAACAGCTTGAGGCTGTTTCCTCTTGTCCTGTCTCTTGTTCCCTGGGAGCAGAGCCTGACCCCCCCCCCAGCTCCACCCTTCAGCTCCCAGGGCTGTGTGGAGGGAGCAGTGCTGGGAGCGACCCTGGTGGTAACACCTGTTCCCCCTCTCCTTGCAGACCCCGGGAATGCCGATCCCGCAGTATCCGTACGGAGACAGCAGTGCAGGGGTCACGGCACAGGGGCCTGTGCCACAGCCCAGAGCCCCAGAGGACACGTGGGGCCCCCCCTCAGTGTATGGGGTGCAGCCACGTTACGCCTGGCCCACGGCCCCAGGGCACGGGAACCTGTACGTGTCCGACTCACACCCGTCCTGGACCAACAGTGGGGCTCCTTCCCACCCTCCCGCCTGGGACTCACAGGTACAGGGACCTCTTTGCAGACAGGAGACCAAAATCCACAGTTGTGGTTCCGTAAACTACTGGAGGTACCAGACATCATGGGGTGGGTCTGGAAATGGGTCAGACCTCATCTGGCTTGTCCAAGAGCAGCAAAATCAGAAATTGTCCAGCAGGGAGTGTGGGACTGACCTGTGGGAGAGCTGTTCAGCTACAGGTGCTTGTTTTGGGCACAGCCATCCCCTGCTGAGGAGGGGTTTAAGTAAAAATCAGAAGGAAAATGTCTGTTCATTTGGCTTGGTCTGGGTTCGATCAGGAGCCAAGTGACTCTCCAGAGGTTTGATCCCCAGGGAGCAGCAGCCCTGAGAGGCGGATTTGGGGATAGGGGCTGCTGTTCCTTGGGAACACCTCCAGAGTGTGTTGCCTGTGGAGAAGGATCTTCTGGTCTACCCAAACGGGACCGTGCTGAAATCTGTTCAGCATCTCCCCCGTCCCTGGGTAACGAGGGTTCAGGGGCTCACTCTGCTCCTGCAGACACGTGCCCCTTGCTGGGGTTCTGCTCCAGCAGTGCAGATCCCTGTGCCCAGTTTCCCCAGCCCTGCCCACACGTGGTGCAGGCTGAGAGTGGAGACCCCCCGGGTTTAAGGGAGATGCTCTTACGGGTGTTTTCTCCCTCCGACCGCAGGACTCTGCCTACGACAGACCCGAGCAGAGCCCGAGCCAGCACAGCTACTACTCTGAGGTGAACCAGCAGCCCTCGGGGCCGGCGGGGGAGCCCAGGCCGGCCCAGCCCCGGGTGCAGTACAGTGCCCAGCCCCAGCTGTACGACCTCGCCCCGCGCCGGCCCGCCAGCCGGGAGCCCGGAGCCAAACCTGCCGACCCCCCTCCTGCAAATCCCCCAGCCATCCAGCCCGAGATCCAGAGGATCCTCCACGTCATGGGGCAGGCTGAGCAGCTGGAGGAAGAGGTGGATGAGTTTGTAGGGAAAAAGACAGATAAATCTTACCGGCTCCTGGAGGAGATGTTGACCAAGCTGCTGCTGGAGCTGGATTCCATCGAGACTGGGGGCCAGGACAGTGTCCGGCAGGCCAGGAAAGAGTCCGTCCACAGAATTCAGGCCATACTGGAAAAACTGGAAAGAAAGGGATTGTGAAAGCACATCAGCCACAACACACGGCCTGTTGTTGAGGTTCCAAAGAGTTTCAGTTCTCTTAAATCTCAGCTCTTTCTGCTACGCACTACTGACAATGGAAAATAGCAATAAGCCCTGAGTTAACAATCAAAACAAACCCACAAAAAAGCCACCCCAGAAGCCCAGCCCTGACAGACAACTTGGCAAAGGACAAATTGAGAGAGGTTTGAAGAAGCAAATGTCATTAATGAAGATGTTGAAGAGGACTGGGCTGAGGATGGAGCCCTGTGGGGCTGTGTACAGAATTCCCCAGACCAGGCACAATCTCTGGGTGCCTCCTGCAGCCACAGACGGTCTTTAAACACTTGCCAGATGTGCTGCAACGTGCAGCCACCAACCAAGACTCAGGGCTTGTCCTCACTGCCTGTGTTTTCAGCTTCAGCTCCCTCACCATAAAGCCCGTGTGTCCTCGTGGGGGTTGTTTGGCTTTAGTGCACTCAAGGAGTGACACCGAAGTGCTGGAGGGGGGCACTGTGCTGGCACATCACGTCGGGCTGTTCCTCCTCTGAGGTGAGAAGCCAGTCTGGGGTGTCCCTGTGGACTTAGGAACACAGACTGGAAATCCCAGTTCTGCCACTGGAAAGGAGAGGTGCAAGCGGAGGAATGATGTCAGAACAGATGCAGGGGGTTTGGAATTGATTTCCAGGTCACTTGGGTAAAAATCCCGTTTAATGTCCCTCTCATCCTGTGAGTTTTGTGTCCCACTGCACAGCGGGGAGGGAACAGCTCAGCCTGTTTCAGCCTCCTGGTTACAACGTGCTCAGTGAGTCATTGCTGTGTGTGACACTTAATAAACCCTGACAAGTTTTAAACGTTATTTTGTAATTGAGACGTCTCAAAGTCTCTTTTTCTTTAAAGAGAAGTGGTGGGGAAGGTTGTGTAACTCAGACCAAAACTCCAGCCGGGCTGTCTGGGTGCCCAGGTCAGGGGTGAGTGGAACATCTGAGAACACTGGGCTGGGGGTGTCAGTGTGTCCCATCACCTCCCAGGCAGTGCAGATGCTCCAGGAGCCTCCAGCTGTGGCTCCAGGAGCTGTGGCCAAGTTTTGGAAGGGGTTTTGGCACGCCTGAGGCCAGGAGTGCCCTGACCATGCACTCTGAGGGGCTGACAGCCAACCGATGTCCTGGAGGCACCCAGCAGACCCCACATTCCCAGACAGAGCTGCGGGCATGGGACTGACCTCTGGAGCTCGTTGGATGTGTCTGTGATCACACGTGATCAGCCTGCACACCCAGCCGTGTCTGGGGTGAGCTGGGAGGGAGCTGGGACAGGGAAAGACTCAGCTGCTGTTTCATCTTGTCCTGTCAAGAGGGAGCAGCCAGGCTGAGCTATTCCATGCTTGCAGCCTGTTATCTGCCTGTGGCTGTGTTAATCATAGAATCATGGAATGGTTTGGTTTGGAAAGGACTTTAAATCTCATCTAGTTGCAACCCCTCTGCTATGGGCAGGGACACCTTCCACTAGAGCAGGATGTCTGAGCCCTGTCCAACCTGGCCTTGGACACTCCCAGGGATGGGGCAGCCACAGCTTCCCTGGGCAGTCTGTGCCAGGGCCTCACCACTCTGACAGGGAAAAAATTTTTCATAATATTCAATCTAAACCTGCTCTCTCTGAGTTTGAAACCATTCCCCCATGTCCTGGGCAGCCAGCAGCTGTCAGCCTAAAATCCCTGGAGCTGGCTGAAACCGTTTTCTGTGTTTGTTTCAGTAGCACGAATCCCATCAGGAACAACTCTGCATTGTTTATCGCCTCCTGTCTGCTCCAATCCCCATTTCCCTCCTCTCTGTTGCCAGGGAGAGGAGGCAGGTAGATCCCAGCTGTGTGAGGAGGAGTGTGGAGCAATCCTGGTGCCTCACACTCAGCACTGCAATGCAGGGAGCCAGGAGAGAGGGACATGCTGTGCAGGTGGCTGCTGTGTCCCCAGCACTCTGGGGACAGGACAAAGGTCCCTGTGCTGTGGTGACCTGCTAAGAACAGGGTGAGAAGAACTGCAGGTATGTGTGCGGCATCCAAACCAGGGAAAACCTGGGAGGAAGGAGGAAGCTGTTTTGGTGCTGAACCCATCCAGGTAACGTATTCCTGAACAATATTTCCTGTTCCTGCCTCCTTGGCAGAGGGTTATGTAAATCCCTAGTGAAAAGCACAGGAGGGAACGTTAAGTGGGCTGGAAGAGCAGGTTATCATTGCAGGGAATTTGAACAGCTCTGTGGGATGGCCTGGCTACGTGTGACCTTCGGGCGTCCCTGGGTGCGTTCTGTGTTACCCCACACCTGAGCTGAGCTGAGAAAAGGGATCAGGGCACACCTCCTGCACTCAGCCTGCACGAAACTCCAGCTGCTGTAACCACATCCGTCTCCGCTGCCTCCACCTCCTTCACACGGGACCAAAGTGGGTCATGGCTTGGGCAGATGATCCCAACAGAGTCAGTCTCTGCCCAGCAGCCCGGGCAGGAGCTGTGTCAGCACTGACTGGTGTGGGCCCTGCACGGACAAGGTTTGCAGCCGTTTGCTCTCCATCTGCAGAGATGGGAAATTTAGCACTCCTGGCCCTTCAGTTTTCCTCGCCAGTCTCTGCCGTGGTGGAAGTGAGCTCTGGGATGGGAGTTCCTGGCAACTGGTTTATCTTGCAGCATCCACCCACATCTCAAAACCCAAATTAGAAAGTCTGTCTCTGTTTATCATAGGGCCCATCTCTACAGAAACCAAACTTACTCTGGGGTTGCCCCCGTTGCTTCTCCAGCAGCGCCTGGCCTCGGCAGAGGGTTTCTCAATCACCACCGAGGCCAAAGGGTCACAGAGGGACTGAAAAACAAACATTAAATCAGCGCCTCGTGGTTTCTGCTGCAGATCACCCCATGCTCGAGTGTTTGTCCCTGCCGCACGTGGGAGGCAGCTGGCATGAAGGCAGGGGCTTCCCGGTGATGCTGCGCCAGCACCGCGCACCCCCGGCCCCGCACCCGGCTCGGGGCTGGAGTGACCCGCCCGGGAGAAGGGCTCCGGACAGTCCCGGCCAGCGCTGGCACTGCCCGCGACGGCGCTTGGGCGCGGACCCGCCGGGGTCACTGCCAGCGGTGGTGTCTGCAGGCAGGGAACAGGGGCAGGGAACAGGGGCAGGGAACAGGGGCAGGGAACAGGGGCAGGGAACACCGGCAGGGAACAGGGGCAGGGAACACCGGCAGGGAACAGGGGCAAGGGTCACGGGCAGGGACCATGGGCAAGAGCCGCAGGCAGGGATTGCAGGCAGCGATTGCGGGCAGGGATTGCGGGCAGTCCCCGCTCCGCCCCGGCCGTGACGGCAGCGGGGGGGGCCGCGGGCAGCACCGCCCCGGGCTGGGCGGTCGCCGGGGCCGGAGCCGAGGCTGCGCTGCCGCCCGGGCCGGGCCGCGCCGCCGCAGCAGCCGCCGGGGCAGCGGGGCCGGAGCCGGTCGGGGCCGGGCGGCGGGGCCGGGTCCCCCCGCAGGGCGCGATCCGCGGAGCCCCCGGGGGGCGGCGGGACCCCCGCGCAGCAGCTCCGATGTCGGCGCAGGAGCCGCCCCGGCCGCCCCCGGCCGAGCCCCCGGAGCCCGAGCCCGGCGGGCGGTACGAGGCGGTGGTTCCGCACTGGTTCTACTGCAAGGTCACGGACTCGCGGGAGCGGTGGGTCCCCTTCAGCGCGCAGGACTCGGAGCGGCTGGAGGAGGCGCACGGCGCAGGTAAGGGGGGTGGGCCGGGCTGGGCTGGGGCCGGGAGCGCGGGCAGAGCCCACCCGCCGCGGGTGGGGGTCCCACGGCGTCCCCAGTGTCCAGCTCCCGCCATACACCCACCCCTCGGGTGGGGGTCCCACGGCACCCCCGGCCTCCAGCTCCCACCATCCATCCACCCCCCTAAGGGTGGGGGTCCCACGGCACCCCCGGCCTCCAGCTCCCACCACCACTATCTGTCAGTCGCCCTTTGGTTTTACATCTCAGGTCCCTGCTCTTAAATCGGTGTAAAGAACAGGCCTGGTGAGGTCAATGGGGGAGCATCAGGTGTGTGCTCCGGGTAAACACTGTCTGGGTACCAGGGAAAAATTCCCTGGACACATCCATGGCTTCCACCTGGGATGCCAGGTTTTCCTTCGGGGAAATTTAAATTGGAACTTTTTTTTGGCCACGTGCCTGGCTCCCAATAACCGAGCTGTTTGGATGCATCAAATGGTCTGACTGTGTTCAATTGATACTGCTCTAAATTATACATAATCACAGTGCAAAGCATCCTCTGGTGAGGCTGGGAGAATGCTAGGAGGATGGCAGGAATTCTGCTGGGGGATTCCCCTCGTGGGGAAGTGTGGAGCTGTGCCTGCTCTGGGAGGAGCAGGGGTCGGGGGTCAGCTCCGAGCCCTGCACTGAGGCCCCCGTGTGCCAGATGTCACCATCTGTGCCACCCGCTGCTGCCGCGGGCAAAGCTCCGATTGCCCAAGGTTTGGCTTCCGTCCTCCCTCGCCCAGGAAGTTTTGGATTAGAGGTCGTGCTGCCCGCCCCCAGTGCCACAGCCCAGCCTGGCATGGGGCACTGTGCCACCAGCCCAGCCCAGGGGCAGAGCCAAAAGGCAGGGAAGTTCACAGGATTTGAGGTCCCTATTGGGGTCAGTGTGGAGTTCTCCGGGAGGGGGATGATTTAGAGACCCAGGTGCACCCCCACCATTACACAACGCACTTTCCAGGCCACAAATTCACTTGTACTCTAAGCAAGGCAGGAAGAGGCCATGTAAGCCTGGGCCCAAACCAGAGACAAGGACAGTTAATGCCTTCATCTTACCTTCTGCCTCCAGGGGACGTTTGGCTTGGGGCATCTCTCCCAGGATGCCCCGATGCTGCTCTCGGGGCTTGGCTGTGGGCAGTGCTGGTGCCTGCTGCCGTGGCTCAGACCTGCTGTGCTCTGGCCTCGTCCCTCTGGCACGTTACAGCCTCCTGGGAGCGCCCTGCTCCGGGCCTCTGGCGGTTAATTCCAGGCCTTGGTTCCACAGGGAAGGACCAGGAGGATGTGGTTGTCCCGACGTCGGGGGGCAGGTACGACGTGCACCTGAAGCAGCGGCAGCGCGTGGCCGTGTACTGGCAGGAGGAGGTGTCCGAAGTGCGTCGCTGCACCTGGTTTTACAAGGGAGACAAGGACAATAAGTATATTCCCTACTCGGAGTCCTTCAGCGAGGAACTGGAGGTAAACACACCTTTCCTGTTGGTTTCCATCTTGGCCTCTCCTTGTCACACACCGGCCCTGATGTCCCAAACCCCATATGGGGCCACTGGCGCCATAGTCAGGCCTGAGGACACGAACTCCAAAGAGGCTTTGGCACGGCCTTCCTGCAGCTGATTAATGGAACTGTGAGCACTGCTGTGGCCTCCCCGTCCCCTGCCCTCGTCGGGCTGCAGCTCATCCTCCTGCGACACCCTCAGCATCAGGCTCTGCTTTGGGAAGATGCATGTGTAGGGATAGAGATGTATGCGTAAAAACACACAGCATTGCAATAATCTCTGTTCTGACGTGCCAAAAATACAGTTTCAAGTTGATGGGGAAGACTGACGCTGCTGCTGTCAAAGGGGGGAGGTTCTTAGACACCCTCAGCAGGTGATCCTGGGATGACCCTGCTGCTCCTCCAGCTGATTTCTCTGCCACTTTCGCAAAATGTTGATAAGATATCCCGAAAACTGGGTGGGGAATGTCTCAAGAGGTTGAACATTCATGGGAGTATTGCCAGCTGACTCACAGAGGGTGTTCTCTTCTGTAGGAAGCTTACATGATTGCCGTGACCCTGGATGAGTGGAAGAAGAAGCTGGAGTCCCCCAGCAGAGAAGTTATTATCCTGCACAACCCAAAGGTGAGCAGGGCCTGATGTGCTGACCAGCGAGAACACCCCCTTGGGTCTCTGCAGGTCTTGCTTTGTGCTCTGGCTTTGTGCTGTTCCCTTCAACCATGTCTGCTGAGGAATGGGTTTGTCCCAGAGGCATTCCCCTCACCTGCCTGTGCACAGGAGAGGGCAGTGCCAGAAAAGTCTGGCATTTCCTTCACGTTTCCTCTCAACACCTCTTTGTGCAGTGGGCTCGGCCCAGTGCAGTCTGGTACCAGCCCGTGTCACCCGGCAGCTGCTGCAGCCAAAGCTCTCTCTGCTCCACCAGGGTCACTGACAGGCTCTTCTTGTTTCCCAGCTGATGGTGCACTACCATCCTGTCGCCAGCTCCGACGACTGGGTCTCCACTCCCACGGAACAAGGTCGACCCCGGACTGTGAAGAGAGGAGTGGAGAACATCGCTGTGGAGATCCCCAACGGTGAGCTCGCTCCTCCCTTCCACCCATCCAGAGCTATGCAGTGTTTTCCAACCAGTGCACTCAAAAAGACTGACAGAAGCTCCCATGATCCTTTCATTGAAGTGCACATCTAAACACTTGGTGCCCCGAATGGTTCCAACAACCTCCCCAGCACCAGTGAGCTGTGCCATCAGTGAACACACAGAGGCAGTGAGAGGGGGGAAGGCAGTGAGCTTGCAGCTCCTGCATGGAGACAGAGCTGTTGGAAGCTCTGCAGTGCCTGAAATTACCCCTGAGGTCTTGGCATCTGTGTTTGTACAGGAGGAGAGTTTGTTTCCCTGGTAGGGACACAGGGGTTTATCACTTACCTGCGTTCTGGTGACTCTCTGGGGCACGTGTTCTCCCCATCTCTGAAGCTGAGTGTCGGCTCTGCCCCCTCCCAGCTGCCCTGGGCTCCCAGTCAGGCCTCAGGACTTGTCCCTGTGGGGAGGATGGGCAGTTACTCCTGTCTAACCCCTGCATTATCCATGCATGCCTGTCCTCAGGAAGGCACGTATGCAAACTAACGTGAGTGGGAAGTAGAGACAAGTCCTAACTCCACCTGGGGCCTACCTGGGAGATGCAGCTCCATGGGGCCCAGTAGCTCATCGGAGTGGGCTGGGCACGGGGCAGCTGGACAGAGACCTCCTGGTCCTGCCCTTCCTTGTGCTGGATGTGCCCCACGGGTGGGGCTGAACTGCCGGGAGCATCCATTCCCCCCGGAGCGAGGGTGGTGACAGGAGGGGGATGAGCCCCTCTGCCTCCGTGCCCTGAGCTGCCCTTCCCTCCTCAGGAGAGCCCCTGCAGATCGACCACCTGGTGTTCGTGGTGCACGGGATCGGCCCGGCCTGCGACATCCGCTTCCGCAGCATCGTGCAGTGCGGTAGGTGTGGGCTGGGAGCCCGGCCCGGCCGAGCCAGGAAAAACCTCATCCTGGACGCTGGGAAACGCTGTCAGGGTGCATCACACCATCCCGGCACGTTGGCAGGCTGCACGGTCACCCCTGCTGACTGTGGGGAGTGCGAATGGAACGTTCACTAACCCACCAAATCCCGCCTTCTGGAAAGGTTTGGGCAGCCACTGCTCGTCAGTGTTCTGCTGCTGCTGCTCCAAATAGTGAGTTTCCCAAATCAGATACGGATTTTCCGAGTACCTGTCTAAACCTGCTAAACTAATTAGTAGCCTGCTCAATCCATTGCTGCGGGTTAATCTCGCTGGGTGAGGTCCCACAGGCAGCAGCATCACATTCTCTGGAGTGATTTGGGACAGCAAAACTCCGTTCACTGTGAATTGCTCAGTGCTGTAGGACAGGTGATCCCTGAACCTGCCTGGAAGCCCAACGAGATTTAACTTGTACAAGTCAAGGGAGCTGAGATGTTTCACAGTGTTTCCTATGAATGCTGGCTGTTCTTCTCTGTGGCCTGCTGATGAAACTATTTCAAGGCTGCTGAACATTTGAAATGAGGGAAATCAGCCTTTCTGCCTCAGAACTGAGTCCTTACAAGTTCATCTCCTCCCTTATGATTCCTGCACAGGCATCTCCACAACAGAGTTATTTTTTATAAATTTCTAAAAGTACTTTATCCTGACTGCTGGGCTCTGCCCATGTGAAGGAGGTACAGATGGGACAGCAAAATCCAGTAAACACACGTGACAGGACATGAAGCCTCCCCTGATCTCAGTTAAAGATTCAGGGACTTAGGGGAGCAGCAGCAGATTAAAGACCCTGGTGGGATTTCCCCGTAATGATCTTTTATCGTATTAAGTGGTGTTGGTGCCACGGGCTGGCCCTGGGGCGTGATGGATCTCCGTAAGAGTTCATCTCTTTTCCAGTGAATGACTTCAGGAACGTGTCCCTGAGCATGCTGCAGGCACACTTCAGGAAGGCCCAGGAGCAGCAGCAGGTCGGCCGGGTGGAGTTCCTGCCCGTGAACTGGCACAGCTCCCTCCACTCCACTGGTGTGGACGTGTAAGTGTCCCACAGGCACCTCCTCCAGGGCCCGTGTCCGTGGGGATGGAAATGTGCACAGGCGGCCTCCTCTTCCCTGGAAACACCACTTTTTCTGTTGGAAAAGTGGAGGGAAAGCTGTGAGTGTTTAGGGGTGAGCAGGACAGATGGGGACCCCCAGGCCCCCTCCCTGCAGCCATTCTGCAGCGCACAGCAGGCGCCTGCTCCCATCAGCACCGAAGAGCAGAGGCTTCTGCCTCTCCCTGGCTGATACCGGGAGGGACTGTGGACATCCACACCTTCTAAAGGCCTCTGGGAACCAAGTACCCAGTGTCTGCACTCGAGCACTGCTCTGCAGTGTCCCAGGAAGGGCAGAGAGCAGGCCAGGCTCCTGGGGAAGAAAGGACAGGCTCTTTATTCTTGGAATGTAAGAGCACGGGCTGTGCTCTCCTTTTGGTCTCAGCATGTGCCGAGGGCCTGAATTACAACACACGTCCTTGGAGGCGGTGTCAGTCCTGCTCTCAACTTACATTTTGCTTTAGAAGCCTGGTGGGGTTCCCTGGCATCCTCAGCTGCAACTCCCTCTTCCCTTTCCCCTGCAGTGACCTGGAGCGGATCACACTGCCCAGCATCAACCGCCTGCGTCACTTCATCAACGACACCATCCTGGACGTGTTCTTCTACAACAGCTCCACCTACTGCCAGACCATCGTGGACACAGTGGCCTCGGAGATGAACCGCCTGCACCAGCTCTTCATGCAGAGGAACCCGCTCTTCAAGGGGGGGGTCTCCATCGCGGGGCACAGCCTAGGTAAGGGGCTCACCCACAGGTCCCATGAGCATCCCCGTGCCAGGGGAGCAGGGAGGGTAGAATCATACAATGCTTTGGGGGGAAATGACCTTAAGGATCTTCTCATTCCAACCTCCCTACCATGGGCAGGGACACCAGGTTGCTCCAAGCCTCGTCCAACCTGGCCTTGGACACTTCCAGGGATGAGGCAGCTGCAGCTTCTCTGGGCAACCTCCCCACTGAGTAAAGAATTTCTTCCTGACATCTAACTCAGCCTGTCTTGCGTCAGTTTAAAGCCATTGCCCCTTGTCCTGAATGAAAAGTCCAGGGTGCTGCTCTTCCCTCCCAGCAAGGAGCTGGCTCGGGCTCTTCCCCACCGTGACGCTGACGCTCTGCCCGCGCCTGTTCGCAGGGTCGCTCATTCTGTTTGATCTCCTGACGAACCAGAAGGCTGACCCCGAGGAGGAGGAGCACAGTGCACAGGTACAGCCTGGGCTCTCCGGGGGTCCTTGGATCCAGGGGGTCACCGACCCCACACTTCTGGGTTGCAGGGGGAAGGGGGAGACCCCCCAGCGTGCAGATTAGTGAGCAAAAAGCGTGATCCCGAATGGATGTGTTCACAGGGGTCCACGACAACCTCAAGCAATGGGGGTATTAAGGAAGTAAAAGAAATTCTGAAGAACCTGGAGCTGTCTGAGTATTGTGATGTTTTTGAGAAGGAGAAAATGGACAGGCAAGCACTGGTAAGGAGCTCCCCTGTTTTACTGGCTCTTGTGGCTCTTCCTTGCTTTTCTTCCCCATCATTCCACCACTGCACATCTTCTGGTACTGAGTCACTCACACATGAAATGTATCTGAGGATGAACAAAATCCCAGAGAACAGACACCTCACCACACCTCTGCTCCTGGACTAACACCTGCCTTGCATATTTTCCAGTTCTTGTGCACAGAGAACAACCTTAAAGAAATGGGAATTCCCTTAGGACCAAGAATGAAGATACTCCATTACATCAGCTCCAAGGCAGACACACAGGTTTGTTTTCTGCACAGCTTATGCTCATCCCATCACATCCCATCCCTCTCACACAAGGACCCCTTTATGTTGCTGCAGGATCAGAGCTCAGCAGCTCCCAGGCACGGCGAGGAGCGCAGAGCTGAGCCGGGGTCCCCGTCACAGCACGACCCAGAGAGCACAGAGGGTGTTGGGAACTGCCAGTACAGGGACGTTGGCCTAGGACAGGTGACAGCTGAGCTCTGACTGCACCCACGAGGCCCTCGTAACACCAGCACAGAGCTCATCTCAGGAACAAATCCGAACCTCCCTCTTTCCCAGGTCTCAGCAAACTACCCCCAGCTGAACTACAAGCCCACCATCTTCTTTGCCTTCGGGTCTCCCATCGGGATGTTCCTCACAGTGCGAGGAGTGAAGCGCATCGACCCGAACTACAGCCTGCCCACCTGCAAAGGCTTTTTCAACATCTTCCACCCCGTAGGTACAAGAACCAGAGCCGCCCTGCCTGAGACACGGGGAGCACGAGCCCTGCTCACTGTCCTCTCCTCTGTGCAGTTTGACCCCGTTGCCTATCGGATCGAGCCCATGATCGTCCCAGACCTGGAGTTCGAGCCCATGCTGCTGCCCCACCACAAGGGCAGGAAGAGGATGCACCTCGGTAGGGCACAGGCAGCCCCTGTCCCCCGGCCCAGGGCTGCTGCAGCCCCCAGCCCCACACCCACCCCCCTCCTGCCTTGCAGAGCTGAAGGAAGGGCTGACACGCATGAGCGTGGACCTGAAGAACAACTTGCTGGGGTCGCTGAGGGTGGCCTGGCAGTCCTTCACCCGCGCCCCAGTGCCAGCCCTGGAGGCCAGGAGCACCGACGCCGAAGCAGAGGCAGAGGCTGGCACAGAGAAGCAGCCAGGTCAGTGCCAGGGGGTGCACTGGGCAGAGGGGAGGTGGGGATGCAGCCTTGGGAGCTGCCCGTGGAGCAGCATGTGCTCGGGCTCCCCACAGCCACGCTGCCCCTCGTCTGTGCCCAGCAAAGGCGCTGCCTTTGGGCTGTGGGTGCACCTGGCTGTCCCCAAATGCTGTGGCCTTCCCCTGTTAGTGCCTGATGAAGGAGTTTTCTGGCGGGTCTCAGCACACCACTCTACTTTTTAAGCCTGCCAAGCCTGTCCCCCTGCTCTGGCTGTCTCTTGCACTACTGTTTCCAGGCACTGAATTCAGCTGCCTGTATTGTCATGGTTGCTGGTGCCCCGTGGCTGAACCACGCTGCTCCTCGTTCCTGCAGACACAAAGCCAGAGGAGTCCCCTGCAGCAGTGAAGGAAGAGGCCCCGCTCATTAACGTGGGGAGGCTGAACGGGGGGAACCGCATCGACTACGTGCTGCAGGAGAAGCCAATAGAGAGCTTCAACGAGTATCTGTTTGCACTCCAAGGCCATCTCTGCTACTGGTAAGGGTTTGTGATCATCAGAGCTTCAAACTCACGTGTGGTGAAGCAGAATGGCATCACTCTCAAAGCCTGTGTAGTAAGAAAAGCCTTAACTTGAGGGAACAAGACCTTCTCCTGCCTGAGACACACAGAGGGTGGGCAGGGACAGAGGAAGGAGACCAGTGTGGTTCTCCTTGCCTCGTGGGGCATCTGCAGACCACATCTACCCAAAACATCACACGTGTCCTGACAGGGGGCAGGGAAGCATCCCCTTCTAAGCCCCATGTCCTTCTTCTCCAGGGAGTCAGAGGACACAGTTCTGCTGGTTCTGAAGGAGATCTACCAGACACAAGGCATCACACTGGATCAGCCTTTGCAAGGAAGCCAGTGACCAACCTGTGCTGTTCTGGCTGTAAGTCACCTTTGCCTAAACCCCTTCCTGATTTCCTAGGACATCTCAGAGGAGATGTGGTTTGTCCGAGGGAACAATATCCCTTATCTAAGGCAGGGAACTTGTGTCAGATTTTTTCTTTGGCCTGTCAGCACCTTTGGCTTCTTTCCTGTTCCCTGCATATGACCACCACCAGCCAAGAGGAGAGAACCAAGGAGGGTCCAGGAGACTGTGCTGGGTGGATTCTGGCTGCCTCACTTGCAGCTATTCCTGTGTCCTCCTTTTGCTTTCTTAGATCCAATTCCACTGAGTACTCACCAGGAAAGTCCAGATCTCTTCTCTGCCTTCCTCTCTCCTCTGCTGCCGTGTCCTGCATGCTGCTTCCCAAGTACTTGCTGCTACCTGGAGATAAGGATGGATTTTCCTCCATTTTGGGTAGGGGTGGTGGGGGGTAAAACTATCAAGGGAAAACACTTCTGCTCGAACACACACAGAACCCGCATGGTGACTCCCTGTGGCAATGTGTACTCTTAACCCTCCACCCTGTGAGCCCCCACACCAGCTCCTCCAGCACTGCAGCACACGAGCTGTCCAGGCTCAGAACCCACCAAGGGGCTGACCCTGCTCCTGGCCCAGTGAGGACACTCACAGCCTGGGACCTTGAGGAGCAAAAAGCCTTAACCACGCAGCCTGGAGGGGGCTGCAGCAGCCTTGGAGCGGGGGAGATTGCTGACTGCTCACACAGAGCACCCGGCACCAGGACTGCCAGGGCCCAGGCTGCTGCTGAGCCAGCAGGATCTGTTCACCAGCCCCCCTCATCTGCACTGCTGCTGCATGTTTGTGCACCCCTGGGCCGTGCCGGGCAGGTGCCCCATAAACCACGTCGTGAGAGCGGCATGTTCGTGCTCCTGCTGTGCTGTGTTGGTAGTGACGTCCCACCACCCTCACCCAGCCCACCTGGCAAACCAGGGGCCTCCCCCCGGTGCTGACCACGCCAGTGCCCAGCTGTACCTGAGGAAAGCTCCACCTCCACGTCAGACTGCAGCCAGGCTGGGGACAGCAGCTGCTCCTGGGCAGTCTGGAGGCCTGGGCCAGCCCTCAGTGCCCTGCAGGGACAGAGCAGCGCTGCCGGCCCGGGGGCTCTCAGGTGGCCACAGGGATCTTGCGCCTGCCACGCTCCAGTCGTTGTTTTTAGCTTTAAATGTACAAAATACAGCCAGCAAAGTCGGAGCCCAGATCCACAGGGCCTGGGCACAGCAGCAGTGACACCAGCTCTGCAGGCAGCTCAGTCTGCAGCTGCCTTGGAGCCCTGCTCTGAGGGGGACAGGGCCAGAGAGCCCCTGTGCTCCCTCCCTGGCCACCAAACCCCCCTGGGCTGGCTCAGTGCCTGGGCTGGGGCTCCAGTGCTGCGTGAGGTGTTGCTGTGCAGCCTTTAGAAGAGCCAAACCACTTTCCCTCCCGCTGAGTTTTGCCCTGCACGGGGTAAGGAGCCTTCTTCCCACAGCCTGTTGGTTTGTACTGCCCGTTATTTGCACTACTGGAAGGGTTTTGTTTGCAGCCTCCATCCCTCCTCCCCTCCCAAGGAACAGAAGCTGTTCTTTACCTGACTGCAGGAACAGCCAAGCTGCTCAGCTGGCACCTGAACTACTGCTGGCTAAAGCCTCCTACGGGAGTAGGAAAAGGAACAGTCTTAACATGGGACACTAATGATCAGCTTTTTAAGTTATGCACTTTGTTAAAAAAAAAAAGTTAAATACATTTTAAATGTTATTTAATGTCTTTTCCAGTAAAAGCCAAAATAAATAAGTAGATGACTGTGGTACGTGCATGTCTGGGGGGAGAAGGAGGGACTGGAGAATTTACCTGTGCAGTTTTAGGGGAAAGTAAAGCTATTTCTGTATTTCTGTTGAAGCTGCAGGGTCAGAGGGCCCAAATTGCAGCTGATGGGGCAGTGTTTCATTACTGACTCATCTGCCTCACTCTGCTACAGCCTCACCTGTGCTGTTTGCACACACAGACACTTGATCAAACCACACCTTGTCTATGGAGGGAACCTTCCTTGTCTGTGATGTGACAAACAACTGCTCACTCAGTCCTGCCAGGCAGCTGGCTCTGGATCTTGGTAGCACAGCCCTGCCTTGTCTGAGACAAACCACAGGCAGGGAAACAAGCACCTGGGCAGGGATGCTCTCAGACACCACTTCATTTTCTGCTGTCACCTCCTTACAACTGTACTAAAGCTGCAAGGAAAAAGGTACAAGATGAGCACCCACCAGCAACCCCTGCAGACACCAGAGGAAATGGCTTACACAGAGACAACCCAGGCCTTGAAGTAAAGCTTTAGTACCACAGCTCATTACAAAAATTAAACTCCTTTATTTGGCAAATTAGAAAAAACTCAAGGCTGGCAGGTCCTGCACTTCATTTCCCAGGAGATGGGCTGGGACAGCTCAGCTGGATTGCAGGGAGGTGACCAATGGTGCTTCCTGGACTGGACACTAGGACTCCCACCAGACTGGGCACACTGGATTGTCAGATTTTCCCAGTTCTTGCTTCAGGACCTTCATACCTGGACTGTCATCCTGCAAGGTGGCACCTCAAGTGCTCCCCTCGCTTCACAGGAGGCCCGAAGTGGAGGACACCTATAAAATTCCATTAAACGAAGCAACACAAGCCCCTGGGCAGGAGACTCACCGGCACTGCAGGGAACCCTGCCTGGGGCTCATCCTCATCAGAACCACTGCTGAGCAGCCTCCCCAAAGCCTTGCCCTGCCCTGGCACCCAGGGATCAGCAGGACAGAGCCCATCACTGTATGTCCAGGTGGAAGCTGGGAGCTGGAGGCTTCTCCTCATGCACTGGCGGCGGTTTGGGCTTGGACAGAGACGGTTTGTGGCACATGGAGTCTGTCAGGGGAGGGTAGTACTGCCTGTAGCACAGGTACGCAAGCACCAAGCCCATCATGGAGCCAACCAACACATCTGTGGGCAAGACCAGAGGAGAGTTAACGACCCTTCACCCTCCCAAGCCTCCCTGATGATGGAATTCTCCAGCAGCAGCTTTTCAGCTGGACCTCCAGCCTGACCCTCGGCTGTAAAACCAAGCTTGTATATATTTCAAAAACCCAGAGAAAGGCATCAGCGCCCTGCAGGAGGCACCAGAATTACCACCAGAGGAGCAAGCAAACCCCCAGGTTGCTGTTGCGGGCCCTGAACAGCCCTGTGGCACCACGGCCCCACCCGCTGAGCCCCGTCCGGGTGCGCGGGCGGGCACGGACCCACCTTGCCAGTGGTGTTTGTAGTCGCAGGTGCGGGACACGGCGATGAGGGTGGCGAGGAAGAGCGGGAGGAGGAAGGCGCAGAGGCGCAGGGCCCGGCCCCCCCGGCCCGGAGTGAAGCTGTGCAGCTTCCCCGCCAGGTAGAAGGCGGAGAAGGCGAGACCAGCGAAGGCGACTGGAAGAGAACAGAACAGCATCGGCTCAGAAGAGCTCCGGGCTCTGCAGAGGGCCCTCAGTCAGACCCTCACCCTGTGGTGGAAGGGCTGCAAGGGGAGTCTCTCCTGCCCCTGTGAGCCAAGGGAAGCACCAGCTTGGGAGTGGTGACGGATCACAGAAGCTGGTACCCAGGGTTACAGACAGCTTCTGACCACATTTCTCACCCCACTGCTTTGCAGAGGGAAACCTGAGGCCCCTGACGAGGCCAGTGAATGCAGCCAAAGCAAACCCAAGCTGCCCTCCCCACGGCTCCTGCTCTCCACAGCTCGCTGCCCAGGGCTGCAGCAGGAAGGGGACGTGGAGCACTCACAGGACGCGTGTCCGCTGGGGAAGCTCTTGCGTCCCTCGGTCACTCTGCGGGAGTCCCCCGTGCACACCAGCTCCGCGTTGGCTCGGCCGTCCGGGAAGCAGCGGTAGAAGAAGTCGGGCCGTGGCCTGGGGCAGAGATGTGAAGCACAAAGCACACACAGCCATTGGTGTGGGCCCCCATGGAGCACCCACATCCCCATGCCAATGCAATCCTGCCCGGCACAGGTCTGAACGAGCCCCTCTGAGCGATGGCCAGAGACAGCAGGTCCCCACCAGTGTTTGTTCTAATACTGAATTGTCTTTACAGCCAGAAAAACCCACATCCTTTCCAGTGTGTCACACTGAGCTCCTAGCCCTGCTCTGGCTTTTGCAGCTCTGCCCTCAGCACAGATCTGCCTCCCCTCCCCTCCCTGCACGGCACTGCTGGGAACCAGCCGGTCTCTCACCTCCCCACGACGAGCTTCAGGGCATTGGTAAAAAGCCCATTCAGGGCGAGAGCAAGGCTGGCAGCTGGGAGAGAGCAGAGGGGTCACATGAGCATCATCCCCACCCGAAAGTGCAGCTTCGAGGCACGTTCAGGCACGGGCAGGGCTCAACCTGCCGCCCTCTGGGACGAGGAGGAGCTCACCAAGGCAGGCTTCCCGCGTGTCCTCGCGGTCGGCGCTCATGAACAGCCTCGCCAGCACGATGAGCAGCAAGGGAGACAGAAACGCAATGAACTGCACAAAACAACAAGATTTTTAGGTGCCAGTGAAACAGCTTTAAGCTCTCACAGAAAACCACAGCAGCTGTGCTCAAGAAGACTTCCCCCCCCAAAGCCGAGCAGAAACCGTGCTCTCCGAAGGGCACTTCCATCAGAAGCACAAACCCATCCCAGCTGGATTTGCAGCAGGCCCCGATCAGCCCAGCATGTCCTCGGGTGCTCAGACAGCTCCTCTGGCTGGTTATTGGGGGTGTCCCCAGCCACAGCACCTCAGTTCTCCCCTCCCTGCCAGCCCCAGCATTAGTGCCCTGTCAGCAGCACCCTCGCTCTGTCAGCAAAACCACTGAGCTGCTGACTCAGTTATCACCATTCCCATCTCAGCCCGACTGTGCCGGGGGATTTCACCCCGGGGCACCCACGGCGTGGCTGCCAGGCTGCCAAGGAGCTGCTCCCACCTGAGTTCTGGCATATGTTGTGCTTTACGCCACCAGTTCCAAATGCTACCCCGAGGTTTTGTCCTTAATGTTCAGTGCCCACCTCTTGCAGAAAATCCCAAGTGCCATTTGCCAGGAAAAGCAGGAGCTTGCCCAACCCAGGAGCCACAGCCCCTGACCTCACACCTGCTCCAGAGGGAGCCAACCCCTCTGACACGCTGCTGGTCTCCTCAAGTCCTATACGGGGTTATGTCAAACCCTTTTCACAGAGCCTGGAGCCCTCGGGAAAACATTTCACAATAAAATGATAATAAACTCTGCTAAAAATAGCTGCTTTCAAGGAAAACGTTCCCTGATAGCGAGAGCTATGCTATCTTTGTGCTCCTGGGAATTTGGACGTGGAACGAGATTACGAACAACAGTGCAAAGTCCACACTAGTTTATAAACTTCAAATCCCAAAGACAAGCCTGGATGGTAAAGCCTGAAAATGTGATAAAAGTTACTGTAAGTCTTATCTAGTTTGTATTAATCTCACAGGATGGGCTGGAAGGTACCACTGGGGGCCAACCTGTCTAACCCCTCTGCTCAGGGTCCTCAGAGAATGTCGCTCAGGATTGTGTCCAGGTGGATTTTGAGTGTCTCCAGGGAATGAGACTCCCCCTTCTCTAAGAAGCCTGTGCCAGTGCTCAGTCACCCACACAGGAAAGTTCTTTCTTGTGTTCAGGTGGAAATTCCTGTGTTTCAGTTCGTGCCTCATCCTCCACAGAGCAGAGCCCTGCTCCATCCTCCCAACCCCTCCCTTCAGCTATTTATCCACATGGATACAATATCCTGCCCTTTCAGCAACCTGCACTAGGAGCTCCAGGTATTGCAGTACAAGCCTTCAGCCAGCAGCTTTGCTTTAACAGGAGAGCTTATAATTAGAGAAAAAACAAAGTAAATGCAGGAAACTGGCACGGGCTGCCCAGAGAAGCTGTGATGCCCCATCCCTGGAACTGTTCACAGCCAGGTTGGGTGGGGCTTGGAGAAACCTCGGCTGGTGGAAGGGGGGCATCCCCCATGGTGGGGGGGGACACGACAAGATGATCTTTACGGTCCCTTCCAACCCCAAACACCCCATAAACTTACAAACATGAGGGCGGTGGGAACGTGGTCCACCTCAACGTAGGGGTTTTTATAGAGCCACATCTCCTCGGGCTGCACCACGCGCTGGAAGGGCGGCAGGAACTCCATGATCCTGGAACGAGACAAGGCAAATGAGCGCTGGGGCGGGCACGGGGGGGTCGGGGCGGGGGTCCCGCACTCACCCGAAGGTGGCGAGGAGCAGGGCCCGCAGCGCGGTCTCGGCCGCCAGCTCCGCTCGCCGCATGGCCACTGCCCGCCCGACGAGCCACCGCCTCCGGGGCGGAGCGAGCGCAGCCTCCGCTCCCTTCCCGGAGGAGGAACCGCGGAGCCGGGAGTCCCGTTATCCATCCCCCCACCCCATACCCCCCCCGCCGCGAGACGGAACTGAGTCATCTCATCGTTGGAACATTCAGAACGATTTATTGAAGTTAACCTCAAGCAAAAATTTTCAGATCAGTGGAATGTCATTAAAAACCTTTCCAAAGGAATCCTCACGGAAAAGCAAAAAAAAAACAAAAACAAAAACCGAAAACAAAACCAAAACGAAACAAAAGAAACAAACAAACAAAAAAAAACAAACCAAAAAAACCACATCTGAATTCCAGAGTATTTGTCAAATAAAATAAAAAAAGGCAACATCTCAGTAAATAGAATGTACAAAAATTATATGTTCTACCATCACACACAGTCAGTAAGAAGCTAAAATATTACAGGCAAGTCTCGATACGCTCTACCTAGAGGACAGGAGCTATCTATGTACAGGGAACCAGCTTTACAGGCTTCACACTATGCAAGAGGACAGAGGCCAACACAAACCCCCCAAAATATCGGATATCTCAAAGTCTATGCGGCAACATCAAGTCATGATACAGTAATGCCCCGTGGGATCGGACACTCCTCCTTAGTGTCAGGGCTGCGTCAGCGTCCAAAAACTCCTCCAGACCGACTTCGGTGAATATCGATGCTTTGCTAGTAAAGACTCGAGTGATTTCGTTAAAATAACATTTCACAGAATCTACAAAGTTTGTTACAGATAAACAAAGTCTACAGAAATAACAACTCTACAAAGGTCCATCTTACAGAGCACGTGGGGATGGAGGCGGATCCGCAGGGATCTGTGTTTGTGCAACATCACTCGCGTGGAGACAAACGGGTTGGGGTCCTCACAGCACCCCAAATGCAAATCCCCCCCACCCCCTGGATCAAACGTGATCACCCCGGGGGCTGTGGCAACACCACCGGCTCCTTGGAAAAGTGACACAGACAGATACAGCTCCACCTGGGAACAGGGAACGTGGGGGGTCTTCCAGTCTGTTTATGACCCAACACCAGTGAGAACTGCTTGGTGGGGGCCTCTGAGGGACCCCCACTCCGTTGGGATCTCCGGAGGGGACCCCACTCCGTTGGGATCTCCGGAGGGGACCCCACTCCGTTGGGATCTCCGGAGGGGACCCCACCCCGTTGGGATCTCCGGAGGGGACCCCACTTGTTGGGATCTCCGGAGGGGACCCCACTCCGTTGGGATCTCCGGAGGGGACCCCACTCCGTTGGGATCTCCGGAGGGGACCCCACTCCGTTGGGATCTCCGGAGGGGACCCCACTCCGTTGGGATCTCCGGAGGGGACCCCACTCCGTTGGGATCTCCGGAGGGGACCCCACTCCGTTGGGATCTCCGGAGGGGACCCCACCCCGTTGGGATCTCCGGAGGGGACCCCAGGCAGCCGCCTGGCCCCCAGAGCTGGCGGTGGCATGGGGAGGGCACAGCCCCAGGGAACAGGGAGTGGTGAATGGCTTTGGCAAATTAGTACATTTTCCCTTTTTGATTCACATTAATCACAGAAATCCCCTACACAAAGCCCAGTCCCAGCTCCCCACCTCCCGCTCCAGAACAACGAGACCCCTCCCAGGGGAACAGGGACCTGAGCTGCTCACTCAGGAATACAGTATCACAGGGAACAGCTTTGCTTTTCTTCGTTTTTCCTCAGAACAACACTGGGAACACATCCAGCGTGTAGGAGTGTATTGTAAGTGCAAAATGTTTTTGCTACACAAAGAGAAGTGGCGGGGAAAGCTGATGGGAATGGGAAGCAAAGGGACAGCATCGCTCCAAGGTCGCCGTCTCCCACGCAACACCTGGTGAACACACACCTCCGAGACAGCTTCCAAACCCTCCCTTGCCGTGGACCCACTGCACAGCGGGAGCAGGAAGGAACTTGGGGGGAAGTCAAGGACATTTTCAATGCAGTTATACAAAAAATTATGTATAAATAAAAAAAAAAAAGCTGTAAAAGGAACCGCAGAGCTTCAAGTACATTAAACCCTGAATTCATGAGGCAGAGGTTTCCATGTTAAAGTGACTTCTCCGTACCAGCGTCGGACACCCCCATCCCACCCTCCCCCCTCCCCGCCCACATAATTCTGTAAAGTTTCAATATATACAGATTTTATGCTCATTGATAATTATGTTTAGTAATTGTGTCTTTCCCACTCTATCCTGAAATTAAGATACAAGAAGTTGGGGTTTTTTTATAAGAAAGGCCAAAAATCCACGTTCCAGCCCTATTACTCCATTTGAACAGATTCTCCAAGACCATGTGGTGACCAGAGAAGGTGATTTGCCCACAAAATTGCCTTCCTGAGCTGCAAATGCCTTCAACAGTCTACAGACAGGACAAGTCTACACAATAATCCGACAGCTACAACAGCAAATGCTTGCACTGTGTGTTCAGGAGTGATGGAACCAGCCTCTGCACCACTGGAATCACAAAATCATGGAATTCTACCTTCTAGACTCATCTGGCCAAGGGCTGCAGGACATCTGGGGCTGTGCTCAGGAGCAGCTGCAGAGGAAAAGCTCCAGTAAAGCACAGACTCCATCACCTGGGCAGAGCAGCTCAGGCACTGCCCAGGTGCCACAGCTGGAGGCAGGGGGTCACCAGAAGTGTGGGGCCCACCCCAAAAATTCAACACAAAACTATGGGAAAAGTGTGCCAGTGTGTTCCCATGAAGGAACAACTGACAGGCTGGAACAGCACGTTGCAGCTCTCCACCAAAATCACCAGTTCTGTGGATCTCCTCCAGGCCTCAGCATGAAGCGACCAAACTATCCAAGATTCCTTACTTTGGAGCCCACACAAATTAATTCAGCAGCTGCCTTCCCCTCTGCTGAAGCCACTTCATCAGAACAGCTGTGCAATTTTCTCCTTACAAAGGAATTGCACTAATGAATAGCATTCTGGTTACTCAGTCTGCAAAGACGTGGTTAAAATATGCATTTTAACATCTGAGTCTGGCACTCAGAACAGCCCCTCCAGTCACCAAGATACTCTGAATTGGCATCTTCTCATCTCACAATGTTAAAGCCTTTTGAAATTCACCTTCTCTTCAGTTCAGTGTTTTGTTCACAAACTGCACAACCTCACAAACCATCTCCTGTTTTCCCTTCCGAGTTCAAGGCCAGCTGTTGGCTGTTATTAATCATTTTTTTTGGTGGAAAAAAGAAGCACCTGTAAGAAGTTTGAACACAAAGCAAACCAAGACATCGAGTGGGGTGGCACAGGAGGAGCAGCAGCCTCAGTCACAGCATTTGACAAGTTTTAAGCCTTCTGTGGCCCTCCCCTGTCCTGTGACTCTCAGTGCTCCAGCACAGGAGCCAAGCTGGGCACTGATGGTCCTGCTCAACACTCCCGAGGTGTCCTGGTGCTGCCACACCACTTCCTTCTGCTCAGCAAGTCACCATGGACACAGAATGAAGGGAGCAGGTTGGTGCCCTCACATGGCAGGGTGATATTAACAATATATCATATATATATTATATATATTTTAGATATAATATATATATAATGTATCGCTGATACCTGCAACATCAGAATGCTCTGACTTCCCAGGAGAAAACCACTGAACTTCATCAAGCCTAATATATAAAGTGGACACCTCGGGCCCCACGAATGCTGTAGCAAGAGCCGTGTTTGGAATTTCTGAGAAGGTTAAACATCCTCAGCAAGGAGCTTAAAAAGAGACATTTCTCACACAAAATGCTCAGAAAAATAAAATCCTTTTTTGTAAAAAATACCAAAATCCAGCACTGCTTTCCAGCAGGGTTAGTGTCAGACCCCCACCAGAGCACAGCCCAGGGCATGAAGTGCTTTAGAGGTCCCAGCAGCTGCTGCCCCAGGGCTGCCCCAGACACCCACAGGTTCTGCCTCCCAAGGGTGTCAGAGCTGAGCCCACGGCACAGCAGCTGCTCAGGGACTGTAGTGTATCCTGTCATTCTACAATTGCACACACACACACAAAAAATAAAAAACAACTTTCCCCCGTACATGAATTTGAGGATGAGGAGGACACTGGGCAGAGGCAAGGCGTGTTCTAAATCCCACATGGACTTTTTCAGCCCATTTCCTCGATCTGAGAATTCCCCATGTTCCCGCAGGTTTGTGTAAGCAGTTTTCCAGAGGCAAGGTTCTTAGTTCCAAGGCTGAATTCAGCCAGATGCCAGCAACACTTGATTATTTTCAATACCCACAAGCAAAGGCTGGCAGGGAACAGCTTTTATCAGCACACAAGTCAGAAGCACTCGCTGCACTGGGGCAGGGGTGACACACAGTGCGTGGTGAGATCATGGGCTGGGGGAAGAGGGTCACCAAAACTAACTCCAGCCTGGGGACACCAGTGCCCCATGGCTCCTTGCACAAACAAACGGAGGAAAATAGGTTTTCTAAAGAAAATCTGGAGCAGGAACCGACCTAAGCCACTTCCAAAGCCTCGCTGAAGGAGTCTGTCTCTCTGATTAACAGAGGAAATCCAAGAGAGAACCATCTCCTGAGGCTCCAGCTGGCTGCTGGGATACGGCCCATTACCCAGGCACAAAATACCCTGTTCATCAAGGAAGTGCTGAGATGTTCCTCAGCTCCACTAACAATGAAAATTAAAGTTAGAAGATTCCTCTCAGCAAAAAAAAATAAAACCTAAACGTTCAATCAAAACCAACACGCACACGGGTCGGGTCCCTCATGTGCCCAAGTCTTCCCTGAAGCCACGGGGAGCCTGAGAAGGCAGCACTGAAGAATCACACTCAATACCAGTGGCAGATGACAAACTCACCAGCGGGACTAACCAGTTCTGAGACTGGGAGCCTCTCCTGCCTGGGAATGGTTCCCAAACTGGGCGGGATAAAGAAAGAAACGACCACTGTGCAACTGAACTCTGAATTTTCACCTATCTGCAAACACCCATTACAGCTCTGGAGCAAGGAACCATCACTTCTTCCCTCCTTAAACACTGCCAGACCTTGTGTTACAAGCACTTCCAAGAAGTCACACACCTGATTTCTCACAGGAAAAGCTTCACAATAATATTCATAAGTTAATACGAGAGACAACCTACCTTCTCCAATGCCTTTAAACAATAAGTACTGGAACAGAGGCATTTCAGAGTCACCTGGTCTGACACCCACACCTGTCTGTTTGGCATCTCAGCGTTACAGAGGGGGGAAACTTTGCTCTTTCCATAAACTAGACACAAAAGTTACATTGGCTTCTCTGTTTTGTTTTCAAAGACACGTTGACTGATCAAAGCCAGATCTTCAACACCCTTTCAAAATTAAATAAATAAATATGTTGCTATGCTTTGCTTTCTACACTCAAAGAACATTATTTTAAACAGAATATTCTTTTCACTGTCAAAAGGTCTACGGTTTTCTTCGAAGGCCAAGACGTTCCTGGTTTCCAACAGTAAGAGCTGCTGTAGCACATTCAAGGGTAAAAGAAAGACCAAACAATAAAACCCAAACACCACTGCCTGGTCCTGCTCGCTCAGGTCAATGGTCCCGTCCCAGCTCACACGCGACGGCTCCGAGGACAGACTGAGCGTGGCATCGCAGTCTCTCCGAGTTCGTCGCCTGTTGCCCCTCTTCTCCCCTCCCGCGTTTGTCTTTAACCAAATTCACTCCTTTGCCTCTTCCACAGCATTCTGTGCTTCCAATTTGCACTTGATCTTGCTCCAGTACTCGGGTGCCACAGGAGATTTGGGGTCGTGTGCGGAGCAGCAGAGGCGGCCGTCCAGCGCCGACGGCACCAGGGCTCCCTTCTCGTGATCCTTACAGAAGGAATGGGGGCAAAACTCACAGAAGGAAACAGCAGGATTGCTACAGACGTCGCACTGATGCCATGGACATTCCCACTTTCCTGGGGATGGGAGGAGAGAGAGACACGAAGCTGGAATTAGTGCATTTTGGGGACAACACCGGCCTTTAACCCTCACTCCATACTGGAATTGCTCAGATGAATGCAAAGAAAAATCAGCTCTTAAGGTGGTTGCTACTTCTTCTCACTGACAAGAATGTGACTAGATACGGTTTGTTTTGCATTTTTTAGGCCTCTCTTGGCACAAAACATTGCTGCATGCATAACCAGAGCTTAAAACAGTAAGAACTACCCCCTCTGACACCAAGGCACCAAATATCCCTGCAAGATGGAGTTTGTTTTATACATTTTCCTGATTTGTGAGCATCTCTCATTGCCCTGGACACTGCCCTGCTCAGAGGGTACCTCCAAAGGAAGCTTTAGTTATGTTGGCTTTGTGAGTGTTTGAACTGTCATTTGATTTGTGCTTGGTCACCCTGGGACACCAAGATGATGCTTGTGTTCTAGTCAAAGTAAGAGGAGGAAACTGGATCCAAGAAAGAGATGCAACAAGAACAACATCAGAAAGGATGACAAAGCCTCTGCCCATCAGTTCTATTTAGGAACAGTCACCTGCTGTACTGCTAAAAGTGAGTGGTATTGCAAAAGCAAATATGCTGGCCTTCATGCAAATAAACACTGAATTTCAGCTCAAACATTTGTCTTGCAGCAAGAAGGAAAAGAAGAACAGGAGCCACACAACTGCTCTTACCAAAAGGTGGTTGAGTCAGGTTAAGGCATAGGAGGTGGTACGCTTTGGGACAGTCCTTCTTATCACACATGACCAGCTCTCCCCCATCTCCACACTGGAAACAGTTGTCTTCGTGCATCTGCTTCTGTTCTGTTTTTATTTTCCGTTTCTTCTGCTTTAACTTTGCATTCTTCACCTTCTCTTCATTTGCTGTTGCAAACGCTGTCTAACAAGGACAAAATCACAGCACACGGTCACTTAGAAACCCCTGGCATTAAAATCTACTTTGGGTTATTATTTGCATGAATTCTGCTTAAATTAGATCCACTCAAAAAAGTTGTTAAGCTGTAAAGCCAGAAGTGCCCATCCAGATGTTTCTGAATTAACAGTCTGGTAAATTAACACCCTCCCCCCAGACACAACAGCACTGCAGGGCACACTGTAAAATCCTTAGGGACTTCCAAGGGTGGAAAGTACTGCATAGGTTAAAGAGTTAAATAAATCAACCCCCTCTCTTTGCCCTAGGAAGTTTCCAGATCTGGGAGGAGAAGCTTCACTGTTCCTCCAGGTACCTTGGGCCGCACTCCCAGGAAGCCGCTGCAGTTCTCTGCTCCGCAGTGACACTCGGTCCTGCCATTGCCCAGGCAATCCAGGTTGTAATTGAATGTTAACTCCATTCCTGCAAGTCAGAGAAAACCAAGTCACCCACACGGCCACTGAGGAACAACAGGCCTGTGACAGTGACAATTTATCAGTGTTTGTAACCGTCAGACCCCTGCTAAAACTGGAACCTAAATATTGTCTCCACTCCGACGAATGACAAATTTCCTAAACACGCCACTGGTATCAAGTAACTTTAAAGAAAAAGAACATGATTCCAAGTGAGGAACTTGGCCATCGCAAGACAAAAGCAAACATGCCAAACAGTGCCATCCTTTTACCTGCAGGGATGTCACAAAGAGCAAACAGTCCAACTCTAATGTCACCATTCACTGTCCACTTCTGTGTTTCACAGTTTGGGTTACAACTATGGTTCATAAAACGGGAGTAGTTCCCCTTTGGGCCAGCATCTATTATTCGGTCCTTCAAGGAAAAAGACAAAGACGTGTTCAGTACTTACAAAGGAAACAAGGTTTCCCGCTGACCAGTGACAGTTTATATGGAACAATAAATAATATTCACCTTGGTCACAGTCAACATATAAAAATTGGTGACGCTGTTCTCGTGGGCACGTTTGATCCGCAGCCGGCACTCCTCCTCGTCAATGAGCTCCCCAACATACTCATTCACAAATTCACCCTGCAGAGGGAAGGAGAACAAACATAAGAAACCCATGCACCCTACTCATGAGAAAAGTATTTCCTATAAAAACCACTCTAATCATCACAAAAAGTGTTTAATGGTCTCATAGGCACAATTGGAATATGTGCACCAGGTACTTGCTGTCCAAGCAATAAACCCCCTCAGAATAAAAGGCAGCAGAGCCCAAGCCTGTTCCTGCACTCACTGACAAGACAGTCATCAGTTCTCTAAAATCCTTACAACTTTCCTGTTTTCCTTTAAAAAGGACAATGTGACAATATTAATGGACTCCTCAGGAATGGAAACTGTTACAATAATTATTTTCATTACATACTTCACTTTCATGAAATACAGATTTCAAAAATCGTAAGTTTCATAAAATGAATGGCTAAAATTCACATTTAAAAGTAGCCCTACAAGCCCACAGGTGTTCTGAGGGAACTCGGAAGAGCTGGGACGTGACTGACACCGTGACACAAGGAGTCAATGTCGAGCCCTGGGCATCACCGTGCAGCCAGGCTAAAAGGTTAAAACACTCACAGTGCACTCGCTGGAGGTGCAGAACGCCATGTTTTCACCCAGCCCCACCCTGAGATGGCTGTGACAGCCTTTGTGCTGGGTCACTGTACCTTTTTAATGCTCCTTTTGGTCCTGAGGCCCCAGCCGCGGCGCTCGGTTTTGATGATCTCGGCGTCGGGGTAGAGCCTCTTGGTGAAGCACTGGTTCTGGCAGCGCTCCCCGGCCGGGCACACCTGGGGGTGGCACTCGTACTGCAGCATCCTGTTCAGGCACTCCGACTCCAGCCCACACGGGTTCTCGTCCGAGGGCTTGCAGTTACACCGGGGGATCTCCGACAGGTCGGCCACCTGGATCTGAACCTTCCCTATCACCTTGTTGGACTGGGGAACAAAGGAGGAGAAGAACAGAGGGTGAAGACAATGCACAAGGAACAAAGAGCCAATAACTGACATGAGAAGGCAAGAAAATAATGATTCCATCCTGTGTTTTAATGGCACTGTAAGACAGAACAAAGTATTGGTGAAAAGAACAGCAAAACGATCTGTGTGAATTTCTTTAAGCTTCAATTGTTGCAAGCACTGGTTTAACTCAGAATCATGGAATCATAGAATGGTTTGGGTTGGAAGGGACCTTAAAGTTCATCCCATTCCAACCTCCTGCCATGGGCAGGGACACCTTCCACTAGACCAGGCTGCTCCAAGCCCTGCCCAACCTGGCCTTAGACACTGCCAGGGATGGGGCAGCCAAAACTTCTCTGGGCATACTTACTCATGCATAGGTTAACTTACTCATACATAGGTTAAAAATAGAAAAGAAAGAAGCCAACTCACTTTAATGTGTTTATAGGGCGGAGGTTTCCTTGAATTCCTTTCAATTTCCAATGCCTCTTTGCTTTCTCTTTGTGCTTTCAGCTCCTGGAAGCGCTTTGCTGCTTCTTCAAGTGCTGTGCAGGGAGTTCAGAACAGAGAGCAATTAGCCCCAGCTGCTGCTAATCAAACATGTACATGTATCTATTTAGATTTATTTTTTTTTTTTTAATGCTAGGAATAGAACTGTATTAACAAAAAGACAAGCTAAAAATGAGTTATTGCTCTTTATCATGAATCTATCGTCAGGTACTTTCAGCAGGTACCGAGATACTGAACAATGATCCCATGCAGCAGAGCCCAAGCTCCATCTTAACATTTCCCAGTTTGTGGAAGAACTGAACTGGCCCACAACAACACACAATGAGTAGGCACTTAAAGAAACACATTTTTATCTGCAGTCAAGGGATCGACACAATGCTTGGATTTCACGTGAACACAGAACACTAGTCACATAATAATCCCATGCAGGTTAAGTGGTGATGGAGACACAAACACGTGGAATTTTTGTCATAAACCACTATAAACTTTGTTTGATTTTACCTTTCTTGAAGGTCTTGTTAATACTAGTTTGCCCCTCAGCAAAGCTTTTATCTCCTTCAACATAAGGGAAAACTCTGCCCTGGTGTACCCAATAGTAGTCATGTGAACCAAAGAAAAATACTGGGAAGTCCCCGATATCATGTTTGAGGCCCTGTATGTTGAGAGGCACAGACCTGGGATTGCAGATCTCTGCTGGCCACCACCTGCAGAGGAGGAGAAAAAAGAACAATATAAGTTCCCTGAACCAGAGCTTCCCACCTTCCCTAATGGGACTGAGAAGTAAAAGCCAGTTTTCCTTTCATAAGGAAATGAACTCCTTCCTCAGCCACAGCTCCCTCTGGCAACACCCTGGGAAGCTCCATGCAAAAACACAAGCAAAGTTCTTGCTCCAAATTTTGGAAAAGCATCCGTGGCCTGAGAGTGGGTTCCTAGGATACCCTTGTAAACACCTGTATTGCTGTAGGTGAGCAAAGCAAACACCAGCAAGGACTCCAAGCCAGCCCCTGGTGTTCTGTGTCGTGATCACACTCTGCAGAGCAAAGGGAAGTGCAGTCCCGTGTCCATCCCTGCCTGGGAACAGCAGGAGAATCGCATTTCAAGGGTGACATCCATGTCTGACACACAGCAGATGAATTATTGTATTTCCAGTACCTGTTCACAACAACTGAGCTGCTTCATTTCCTGCAATTCCAGAGTACATTAAAACCCCCACAGCATTAAAACCCCCTCGGTGAACTTGCCTGTAATTCCCAAGCTTGACCCAAACGATCTGCTTGTACCGCAGCTTCTTCCCAGCTTTACAGTCATTGCAATTCCAGCATCCCTCAGGCATTTCTATGCTGAGACACTCGGGGTGGAAGGAAGCTGGGCAGGACTCACAGCACAACAGTTTGCCACCTTGAAACAAAGAAGCCCTGCTTGGTTTGTAGAAGTCAGGATTTGCTCCCCCGGTGCACAGCAATCGCCACTCACTTTAAACCATCCGCTCTACATTCCCACTGCCCCACAGAAAAATGGCAAAAGAGAGGGATCGAGTCAAACTTAACAATGCTGGTTAAAAAAAGGACTGCAGTGCTTCATCTAAAGGCAAGTCGTGACTCTTAAGTGCATCAGACACACAAAACAGCAGCTGAGGATTCCGACACGAGGTGAGCTGGCAGGAGGAGCACCATCCCTGAGGGAAGCACTGCAGCTGAGAGCAGTGCTGCCAGCTTTTATCCCTTTGCTGGTGGCCAAAACAACGACAACCCCCCACGGTTTTAAGGAATCCTTTTTCAATCAACATTGTTCTGACCGAATCCCCAGCAATCATTAGTGAGTACCAACCCCACAGCCTATAGGTTGATCAATGCTTTTCTGCAGCAAGGACAGGGAAAAGAATTGTAATAAAAGTGTGTTTATTCCACAAGAAGAGGTTTACCAGGATGAGCCCAGTACATAAAGCACAATGAGACACACGAGTTGTCCCCATCCCAAAATTCCTGGTGCACAGAGGGAACCTCAGTGTGGAGATTCATGTGAATTTCTGAGGTTTACACTTATTTGGGCAAAAGTTGTTTTGCCTGTCTCACATTTTGGCAGCTGTATTAGGTGTGGAGAGCCACAGCACATCTCTAAGCCACCCTCAGCAAAGTAACTCATACAATATGACTCGATACATTACATATATTATAATATTTTATATATGTAGCTATATAAATATATCTATATACATTTTTATAGATATATGTATATTTAAAAATTAACAAGTTTTTGTGTCTACATGGAAAATCTGGGAGAGACTTGAGAGTATTCAAAGCAATTTTCAATCACAATATCAAAAGAGGTGTGAATAGTCACTTTCAAACCTTTATCAGAAAATCTTGTCCACCTATAGACTTCCCAAAATATTGTTGCATTAATTGATCGTTGCATGTCACAATGAGCATTCCTTAAACAATCCAGTTGCATGACCAACACTGTATTTCCTCTGCTAAAACCAGTAAAATCCAGCCATAAGGAGTCTCCAGAGCTCCCCAAACCCACAATGAAATTTTTGAAGTATTTTTTTGCAAATGTAATTTCAGAGGAAGTACAGACAAATTACTGAAACATTATCCGAGATGGGAAAATGTCAAGAGATGCAAAAAATCAAACAAAATCAAACACAAAACTGTCAGTGCTGAGCAAGAAAAAACCCAACATTGCTCTCGGGATGCATTAGGCAGATATGGCTCAAGCTAAGCACAGGGCTCAAAATAATTCTTGTTCTCAGGAATTACAGGACTACTGGAAGCCATCGCTCTAGAAATGCTCAGAACAACCTGCCTTGGGCTGGGGAATGGGGCACTGGCTGTGAACACTCTCAGGGAATCAAATTTCTGTGGGGAATTTGGGTGGTGGAGGTGGGACACAAGGCCCAGGGACTAGAGGGGACACACACAGGTCAAACCTCGCTGCCTTCTCCCTCTGGATGGACACAGCACCCTCCCTTGCCCAGCCCCAAACGTCCTCTCTTCTCTCAGGCTCTGCACAAGACCCGAACCAGCACATCCCCCCTCTTCTTCCACACCTCAAATCAATTTAAGAAGTGGTTTTACATCATCCAGGGAAACACTGAACTGCAACAGTATCGAGATCCATTTGCCTCCTCTTCACATTGCTGTGCAAAAGCAAACACCAGCTCCCTGAAGCTGGAACAGGCCAGGCCACATACAGAGTGACTGAACCTCTTCCAGCGAGAATTTAGTGACAGCAATTATTTTAAGCCCTTTTGTAATTAAAAAAAAAAATGAATTAAAAAAAAAAATTGCCAACATGAACACAGGCTCACAATAACCATGAGTGAAGGTCACTGAAAGCAGTCAGTGTGGGGACAAGCAGACATTTCTCTGTTGATTTAGAGAGAAAAAAATAGAAAAAGCAAAAGTAAATTAAAGAGAAAGAAACTATTTTGGTTACCTTTCTCACATTTCTTTTTGGAAGCTGACGAAGGAGGAGGAATCATAGGTAATTTCATCAACTCAGCACGATTTGACTCATTCAGTAGGTAGTGGGACTTATAGGCATAGGAACTGAACAGGGGGTCTGAATGGTCCTGCACTACCAGCCCTATACGAAACAAACAGAAAGAGATGAGTTGCAATGAAACTACCCATGATTCCATGGAGGAAAAATCAAATCAACCCAATGACCACCTCTAATGCGTATGTGGGAACGAAAAAAAGGATAAAATGAAGAAAATGGAAAGTCTGACAGAAAGTTTCTTTGCTAACAAAGAGGTTGTGTTGGAGAGACTCAACTGGAAAGTCTTGTGCTGAAACAAGGTGCTTCTAAGTTGAATTTCAGTTGTGCTTTAACCCCTCGATTGTGCATCTATAGAAAAGCACAAGAAAGGCACCAGTTCGATGTGTGGGCTCCCCTCTCCCTCCCACAAGGCAAAAGGAAGCTCCTCTGCAGAGCTGGGGGTGATGGTCAGTGCAGCAGGATCGAGCTCGGAGCTGGGGCTGCAAACAGAACACTCAGACTTCGGGTAGGAGAATTCACCATCCCTCGCTACAAACCTACCCCTGAGATCTCGGCTGGAGAGGTGTTTTGCCTCTGTAGTTGTGCTGGAAAACAACGAGGGGGGTCAGTGTTCTGCAAGGCACCAAGGGGGAAGCACAGAGGGAGGTTCTGTCCTAGCCCGTGGTGGTGAAGCTTCCTGACCCTGCCCACCCAGGGCTGCTCCAGAGCAGTCCAGCACGGTGTTCCCTGCGTGCCCCATTCCAAGCCAGGCCTGTGCATTTCTGTCCTTCTCCACCAAGAAGAGATTCTCCTGTTGCTCCAAAGAGCCCAGGTGAGAGCCCAGAGCTACGGAGCAGAAGCGTTTGGCCAGAAACTCACGGGAAGAGCAGAGCAACTGAGCCCCAAAGAAGCAGGAAGGATGAGCTACCAAGAGAGCCCCCGGTTCTTTCCCTGGGGGACACACAACTGAGGGCTGTAAAGAAGCTCTTGGAACAGGGTGGCTAAAATAGTGCTGTAAGGAGAACAGTGTCAGCCCACCTGGACACACATCCTCAAGAGGATTCCTAAAACAAGGACGACCCACACATGCAATCATGAACTGCGACGTGCTTAACGGAGGGCACCACGGGAGGCTGGATAAGAAGTCTTAAAGTATCTCATATTTCAAGTACTTCACCATAAGCAAGTTTCCATATTTTATAGATTGTCTCACATCTACATTCCTCACTTCAGTAACTGCACCTAAATCCGAAGTCCCTGGTTCTGATAGCAACTAACACTAATTAAATCCTCATTGACAAAGAGGATTTCTAAAGCATTCAGTTCCTTGTTCCTTTCTGAGTAGGTGCTCAGTGCTCCTGCCCCAGGTGCTGTTCTCAGCACTCTGGCTCCTGATTCCAGCTTGCCCTAGTGGAGACAAACCACACAAGAATGTTCTGGAAGAACAAGTAGAGAGTTGCTGTAAGACACAGAGGATTCAGGCAGCAGCAGTGGTTTGTAGCTGTTCAAGTTCTCATAAGGCTCAGGGAATACACAGGACAGGGAATTCCATCTGCCAGGGCTCAGGAGGGGAACCTCTAAGGAGGGTCTTCCAGGATATTTGGATCTTGGGTCAGCTTCAGGCACCTGGATTGGCAGCCCACAGGTTAACAAAGGACTCAAAGGAATGGATTTAGCTCCCTGGTATCTTGAGATGTGTTTGATACCACAGCTGAACGATGGTTTGAAAGTGGCAGAGAACAAAACACTGAGGATGAGACATCCCTAATCTGACACTCAAACCAGGAAGGTCCATAGAAAACTTATCTGATCCTGGAACCAGCCTGACTCCAGACAACCAAGAGAAAAACATAAAACCAAACGGCTGAAAATATTATGGAACTGCTCTACCTCCCACAGAAACTGTTTTTACTGTTTCTCCTCTGGCTCTAGGAAAAAAAGCACCTTTCCACGTAGTTTGGTTGGGGTTTTGGACATAACTATTGGTTAAACTAACAAAGTTGAAGGATGGGCATTCACTTTACTCAGAATTCCATCTGATGTGGAATGCCCCATAGCATCTCTGATGTGATTCACATTACACATATCCTGCCTAGGGGTGGCCCCAAAATGTTTAAGTAAGCCCACAAAAGGGGAAACACTGAAGCATGTTGTGAACATCCTTTTACACATTCCAAACCTCACTGTTTCACTTTGAGCTTCTAGATTTTCAAAATATTTTATTTTAAATGCGATCCTTCATGATGGCTCCCAAATTGCTTGGAAATAAGAAAAGGAAAAGAAAGGAGGTAGAAAGGAAATTATTCTGGCACCAGCTATCCTTTACCATTCAGAGGTCTGTAACTACTATTCTGCCCTTGCAAAGTCAAGGCAAACTAAATCTCCACCTGAATGAACACAAGTGAAAACAAGTGACTTCAGGATCACTTTCACCTCCTTATTAGTGACACTCAAAGCTGCTGAAGAGAACATCCAATATAAACTGCTGTGATTCTGTAGAAGGTACATATTAGCATTATTTCAACACCTAAGGATATCAGTAATTTCGAATTTTGAGACCAAAGCAACTGATGCGCCAACATTTTTTTAAGTTGTGCTCTGGCAGAACCCTGGTGACTGAAGAGCAAGTGGGGAAAAAAAGGAAAAAAGTAAAAGGAAAAAAAAAAAAAAAGAGAACTTTGGCATACAGGAAAGCCCAGCATGAAACCTGCTCATACAGTACTGCTAAAGGTTTTCTTTCAAAGTTCTCAAATGTGATGGCAGTTATAAATTAAAATGAATTTTTCTAGTTCATGAGTAAATCCTACCTTTTAGCCTTAAAATTTTAAACAGTTTTAAGTTTGTGAGTGGTGAAAGAATCCCCTTCTGCTTAATACAGTGATTAATAACCCAGCAGCCATTCTCAGTGTGCAACGGCTGGAATTGAGGAATTGGGATTCACTTTTCCCTACAGGCAAAACAAGTCAGCCCAAGTGCCTGTCACTGCTTCTGACTTTCAAATGTTATGGACAGCAAGTGGAATCTCATGAGAACTGTTGACCCAAATAAAATGAAATTAAATAAAATAAAAAATCCCAGGCAGCATTTAGCCCCAGTGAGCCTAAGGGAGGAGTTCCTCGCGAAACACTGAAATTTTTATCACTGAACTGCACAAGTGACAACAGAACCATAAAGCAGGGAAAAACCGAGCGTCTCACCTCTTGCACAAACGAAACAAAAGCCTACATTTACAGCTGATGAGGAGTGAGTCCTTTTGGAATGGTTACTACAGATGAGGATGTGGGATGACACAAACAAGCTCCCGGCGGCGATGCAGCCGTCTCCCGAGTGATAGGCCACGGGGCACCGCAAACACCTCGCCATGCGACCTGGGACAGAACACAGAGAGTCACCCGGAGCCACTGCAGCCCGGGAGCACCGCCAGGACCTCCAGTCCCACCCAGGACCAGGTCAGGACAGGGCAGAATTCCCCACAGGCAGAGGCAAGGCTGGGTCTATTCCAGTACTGGGGTAAAAAGAAACAGTTACATCGTTTGGTTGGGGTTTTTTTAATAAGTTTCACTATTAACTCTTAACTTTCACTTTAAAATTGTTAAGAAAAACTTTCGTCATTCTAGAGTCCATTTGCTTTGTTTAAATATTTTTGCTCATTCCTAAAAGGATTTTTTCCTTGAAAAATAATTGTTCTAAAGGCCACTACAAACTGTCTCTAAAAACCAACATTCCTTGGCCTCGCACTACAAACCCTTGGCTTCCTTTAAACCCAGCAGCACCAGCTGACAAGAGTGTGGATCCAGGGACACTCCACAGCAGTCTTGGGCTGCCAGCTGCTTCCCACCCAGAGAGATCTCAGTGAACTCATTGAGGAGGAAACCCTCGTTCCTTGCTGTGTTAGAGCGTGGAATTGGATCAACTGTTATTATGGTGACACAGCTGAGCCTCCTCCCTGCTTGGAGCAGCTGCCCTCACCTTTGCTGGCTTTGTGCATGTCCTTGTCCATGGAGCAGGCAGTGCAGCAGTGCTGTGGGCACCGGAACCCCCGGGACTCGAACAGGGCCGTGGCAAACTTGCGGACACAGGACTCGTGGTAGAACTTCCCGCAGGTGCTGACGGAGCAGCGCTTCACATCCTTGCCAGGGAGCTTGCAGGAAAAGCACGTGTGTTCTCCTTGGAAAAGATGGAATAAGGGAGTACAACTATAATGGCCAACTCTTTGAGGTACTGTATTGTAAAAAAATTCTGAAGCCAATAGAGTTACACTGGTGTGAGCAACACAGGTTCCTTCCCTCCCAACGGGCACACTGTGATCCACAGTAACTGTGGAGTTGCTGCTCACACTAAAGTTTCCTATTCCAAGTAAAACCCTAAGCGGTTTATTACTTTTTTCTTACGAGGTACTTGCTAAGCAGAAAATGAGAACCTGGCCTCAGAGGTTAAAAAAGTACTGGAACAACCCAAACTTACTCCCAGACCCTTGGAACACGCCACCCTGCTCTGACCAGAAAGCAGCTCCTGAGCAAAGATGGAAATCCCTCCCAGTTTTCCAGGCACTGGAACACACTCACCGTTCTTACACTCGGCGCAGATGAACTTCTCCTCGGGCACAGCCTTCAGGCCGAGGCACTCCAGGTGGAACACGCTGCAGCACTCGCCCTCGCAGGCCAGCAGCGACTCGCCGTAGCTCTCGCAGATCTGGAACAGGCAGAGAGCTCAGCAGGGAACGGGGTACCTGACACCCTGAAGTGCCAATGGCTGCCAGGTGTTAACAACAGGAACGGGCTGGAAAGCGCTCCAGAGCTACGAGAAGTCTCTGGGCTGAGGACGATCCCAGCACTCCCTGCACCTTGCCCTGGGAACAGGCACTACAGCATCCACCCACACTCCTTCCTTTTTTCAGGGAACAAGCTGCTCTTGCTCTTCATGTCCTTTACTATTGACAAGGAAACTGGCCAGAAGATTCCAGGATTTTCTCTTGGAAAATCCTCGCTCTGCCCTATCCTGAATGACCACATAAAATCTTCAGATGGAGCAGAAAATGGCATCTATTTTTTCTACAGATGCTGGCAGGTCTGGATTAGACACCACTTTCCAGCTTCTGAGCTTCCTGGCATGCAGGAGGGCTTAGGAATAATTTCATGATCACTTCATATGAATAATTTCCAGAGCATAAATCCTAAAATCCTGGATATTTTATCTGAGAGACATGGTTAGAAGACGCAGTTAAAACAAGCAGCGTAATATGAAAACAGAAAAGGGGGAATACATATTTAGTATCCATCACTTCCCAGTACCACCAGTTACCTGACAAACAGTGTCTTTTTTACTTGTGCCAGTCCCTCTCCTGGATAAGCTGGAGTCCACTGACTGTACATCCGAGGCATCGGCGTCGGCAGTGGCTGACGGGCTGTCCGAGCGCTTCCCAAAACTGCCCTACAAAGAGGGAAAGCCCACGGCACTCAAACCAGACACTTCCAAAGGACAACCACATTGGGAAAAATATTTCTGTCACTGTGGCTAAGAGGACCATCTGATACGTCAAGAGACACAGAGGTCCCGGAAAGGTGCTGAACTTCTCTGGGGTGATACAAGTGCTGCCTTCTTGATACATCTCACCCGTACAAGCAAAACACCCCGAAGAGCTCTCTTACTTTTCCAGACCCCCCTAGGATTTATACCAGACACAGCAGTCTCACAATTCCCAAAGAACCTCAAATCTTCCACAGAGCAAGCTGTGAACTAAACCAATGCTTTGCCAGGCAAAGGAGTAGGAAAACTTGTAAATAAAGACTGTATTTTTGTATCAACCCAACAGAGGGGATTAGAAGGAAACAGACCTGGCTTTATGCTTTCAGACAATAAAAGACAAAAAAAATCTGTAGAGACGTATTCACATATTCAGGGTTAATTAACTGAAGAGCCTGTTATACACTGACAGCTTAATCAGGGCCCTGTGAGAACAAACACATCTTTACCTGTAAATCATTGAGTCCCCTGGAATCAGAGTCAGACGTGTCCCTGTAGGCAGAGCTGGTCAGCTCCATGTCTGTGGAGGCACGACTCCTCTTCTTCAAGGGCTTACAGGAGTCTGAAATCTCGCTGGCACCTTAACACAACACGCTGAAATTAGTTTTAATATATGTTCTCAACTCTTTGCTTAAAAATAACAAAGGAATAAGAAAGATGAGAGCCTGGAATGCATTATTTGCCTTAATTTTCAGTTTGCAATTTTGTTACTAATTTAATTCTCCCTGAAAAGTTCATTAACTGAGAACCACCTTAGGCAGAGCTTTTGACAAACTTCTGAACATGCTGACACAGTGGAGGAAGCTGCTAAATTGTCTCTAAAAGAGGATAAATCCTCAGGTGATTTCCTCTTCATCATCCATCTTCAACTTTGGCTAAGCAAAGACTTCTAAGAAATGTCCAGAAGGATTTGGGTGCTTACAGCACATGAACAGACACCATCCCTCCCCCAGCAATGCACAAGCACCAGTAACAGAACCCCAAACACCCCCTCACCAGAGAAGCCGAGCTCAGCACCCCAATGCTCAGCCCTACAGAGCACCAACAGTGCAGCTGACACAGAACAAAGCCTCTGCCCAAGGGTGATGAGCCACCAAGTTCATTTTTGCCGGCAACTCACCTTTCTGCAATCCCGTCTTCACTGCTGCCAGTGGGACCGTTTCAACCTGTTTGAATAGGAAAACCCACAGTTAAAACCGGAGGAACGTTTCTCCCTAGGAGCAAAAAGCAAACAGGTCAGTTCAAGGGGTTAGAATTCGGGGGGGTGGGAGCTGCCATCCCCTCCTCAGCCCGAGCCTCCGTGTCCCGCTGGATTCCCTCCTGCCTAGGCCGGGGCCCGGAGCCCGGCAGCCCCAGGTCACTGGCCAGGTCCTTTCGCTCTCTCCCTTTGGGCACGAGGGTGACAGGAACGCTGCATCCGTGTCCAGCAGGCAGGAGCGGGGCCTTGGGGCAGCCAAGCCTGGTGCTCTGTTCCCCCCGGCTGTGTGAGCACACGTCCCCCTGCACGGCTGGCACCAGGACGGTGCAGGGCCGCTCCCACCAGCACTCCCTGGAGCTCCTGGAGCCCTTCCTCCCTGTCTAGAGCGCTGCACGGGCCCGGCCGGGTGCAGGGCTCTACACAGCTGGAACTCGAGGGCACAAACACTTCGACACACAACTGGACAAGTTTACAATCTCGCAAAAGCACTTCCGGCCCTCGACCCTACGGAGAAGGTTAGGAACTGTTCTGCCAACATACATGGAAGACGTGGGAATTTGGTGACTGGATAATAATTACAGAAGAAAGCTGTTGCCTAAGTCCTGTTTTTAAGGTTAAGAATTACAAGTTATTTCTTTGCAATGCGGTTACATATGCATGGAGAAACACATTTAGTAAATATTTAAGGATTATTCTATAATTTTTTTAAAAAATATTTTATTTTGTTGTACAATAGGTAAAAACATACAATAGAAGGATTTGTATAGGATACATTTTGTAATACAAATATAAAATCTAAACAATCACTTTTATTTCTCCACTAGTCACTGTAACAGTAGCATCAACATTTTGTTTTTCCCATTAATTGTACTCGTTCCAGTTATAATTTTATACCAAGTTGTTGCAGACTAATTGGGGAATCAGTTGCAAGAAAACTTGAGTTTGGGTAACAAATATTGTTGCATAATTGTAAGAAGTTAGTAAAATTATTTTCTTTTAAATATAACTTAATACATTCAAAGTTTTGCGCATTACAGTGCCCCTGGGTTTCACTTTAGTCAGATACTTCTCCTGAGAAAAGCACTTTAATTAATGTCCACAGACTGAGTTAGCCAGGTCAGAGAAGCACACGAAGCTACCTGGGATCCATGAAGTTCATCTTGTTGGTTCTTATACCTTTGTTAAATTAAGAAACATTTACAAACATAAAATAACTCCTTTGAAAGGGGGAGGCTGCAACCCCTCGTGCCAAGAAGCTCCAGGGACCACGTCAGGTGTCTCACACCCAACGTTTAAGTTGCTTTAAAGTTTCAGCAAGAAACTGTCTCGAGCTGGAGCACTCACTCCTTTGCTGCACACCAGTGCAGGAATGCTGAGGCATCAAAGGGAAAACAGCGGGGGGAAAAAAGCAGTTGGGTTCACTTTCAGTCTCTGAAGTGAAGGAAGTGCAAAACAAAGCGCAAGGGGCCAAGAATAAATTAGAGATAAAAACATTTTTCCCCTTCCCATATAAATCTTCATCCTGACTGCCCCTCTTTAAAAATTCTCACTGGGAGAAGCTAAACTATGAAACATTCATATAAAATTCTCAGCTTTCAGACAGAGAGCCCCTTGAAGAGGGAAAATCGACCATGTAAGGAGAAGAACCAACAACTTTGACAAACTTGTTAAAAAGTGTATTCAGGTTTTAATATTTCTGTCCATCCACTGCACTCTCCTACTCACTTCCATGCAGAATTTTTTATCATTTTCTTTTTTAAAGCAACAACATTTGTCTGTCTGATATCCAGATTAAAGGAATGCCCTGTACACGTTAGAGCTATTTCAGGAAGAAAAGGTATATCCAGATCTGTTTTGCTGATGTCTGCCAACATGAAAGTCTGACTATTCATCTATAAAATCATTCTTAAAGTCCATTTTCAGAAGTGGTCAGATTAGTCACTCTAACTTCATTTGAAAAACAAAACCTCAACACAAACCAGCAGCTAAATCAAGAGCCAAAGGAAGGAACCTGGTGGAAATTCCATCCAAGAGAAATCACTGAAACAAACCCATTTTGCTCAGAACAGAAATCTCAAAGGAAACATGGCAGGTTCGTTAGGAGTCATCCATCATTGCGTTCCCACTTCCATAGCCTGACTGATACTGAGAAGATGCCAGTAGCAGAGTCACAGCAATGGCATTGACAGGGGGATTTCATGGAGGATAGTCCAAACCGAAACCCGATGGGGAAAAATGGAGAAAAATAAAAAGGCACCAATATAAGCCACAACATTTATGAATACAATATATTTTAACTCTCTACATGGAGGAAGCCAACCTGCTCCTTTTTGATCTTCTTCTTTGGCACAACTTCGGTGGATTTCTCAGACTCTGAGCGGGTTCGAATCGATCTTCTCTGTTGCTTCTTTTCTACAGAACCTGAAGAAGGTAAAAAAGGTTTCCATTACATGATTCCTTGTATTTCTGAGGTACAGCAAGTGTGCAACACCAAATCAACAGGTAAAGGAATGAAACCAAGACTTTGTCCTCTTTTGAATGTTTTATTTTTAAATTCAGTTCCAAGCTGTTGGCCAGCTGGTGCTGTGGCTGCAGACACACATTCTGATTCCAGAGACAGATCAGCTTCAGAAAACAGACACCAGTAACAGAGCGGGACAAAAAGCTGGAATCCATCTTAGGGCAAACAGATTTCCACAACACACCTCTCAGGCCCAGTCTTCACTTGGTTAATTTTGAACCAAGCAGTCCATCTTTGGCGTTTTGGGAAGGTAGCCACAACCAACTCCTTCAATGAAAACAAACTAGAAATTTCAGAAGCAAAGCACAGCTTCAAGTTTTTCCCCAAAATGCCAGTTCTGTGCCCCCTCTGTGGGGCAACAGCCTCTGTCACACAGGAACTACAGCCAGCCCCCCACTGCAACACCTGCAGCCACACCAGACCTCAACGTTCACCTGAAGGCTTCGAGGCAAAGAAAAGCTCAGTACAAACAGAAGCAGTGACCACGATATGTTATTGTCGTTAACGAACGTGAAAAATGAGGTTTTTAACACGTTACCAGAGAGAACAAACTCAGATTAATGAGGATTACTGTGGTATGGAAGCAGGAGCTGCTGGGGTTTTGGCAGCTAACTCTTTGTGCTCCAGCACCTTCAGAAAGGACACAAGAACCATGCACACAACACTCAACACCACAGGCAGCTGTTGGAACAAGCACACACCTGGAGCTGAGAGAAAACTGGCACCTGAGGATTTCCAGTGAGCTGTTGGGAAGCATTATTCTTGGGTTTATGTTTGGGGGGGAGGTTCTCCTAAAGAAGACACAGCTGTGAAATACTCCATATTCTTCCAAGCAAAACTGGAAACTCTTGGGAGCAGGAATCAGCTGCGCCAGAGCTGTAAGGAGCTGTAAACCTGCCTGGTCTTGTCAGGAGATAAAGTATCTAGAGAGCTAGGCAGGCTTGAACCAGACTAAAAGAAAGCCTTGCAAAAGGACTCCAGAGAAAAGAATGAAAATTGCTCTTGATGCATGGGTTGAGCATTTTTCTCACAGCTGCATGGCTCCAGAGTAGGGCAGTAACTAAACTATCCAGTTGGAAACGTTATTGTGTTACAATAATTGTATTTCTGAGGGGATAAATTGTTTTTCTTCGAGGGAAAAAACTTTTAAAGCATACTAACTAATTAATAATAGCAATTAGCTATTAATAATTTAGAAATTAATGACTCAGGTCAACACCCTTCCTGTTTGCCCACATGTAACTTCTGGTTCCAATGAGCCCTATCCCTTCAGGGACTCCCACAGCTGCAGTGGGTCTCCACACCAGAGCTGGGAAACATCTTCTGGCACCTCAGTGTGTGGTCAAAATCCCCTGAAGCAGCTTCAGGTAAACTTGAGCGGGTGCAACCAAACAGTTCATGTAATCAAGAAGGGATTTTCTGCCTTTGCCACCTCACTGCAGCAAAGGAATTAAGATCAAGCCCTGGACCCGAGAACTCCAGAACCAGCACATCTGATGTTGGCTGACAGCAACACTGATCAGTGCAATGGGCACTTTCTCCTCCTCCCGCTCTCCAAGGATCCGGTCATCAGTTCCACAATGCTCCTGTTTTGATCCAGAGTTTCAGGACAGACGTTGGACCAGCCCTCTGCCTTGCTACAGATAACTCTAGTTCGGTGTCTGTGCAGGCCAGAGGCACTGGGGGGGCTCAGGGCTGCTCTCCCAGCAGCAGATTTCAAGCAACAGAACTATTTTCCCAGCACTGTGGAATTCTGTGCATCTAACTGAAGGCTATCAATAAGGACTCCCAGAGTCAGTCTGGGAAATACTTTACCACAAAGGGATTCTGAAGTTCCAGTGACCTCACATTTGAAAAAAGGACTTGGCAGTCATGTTCCACGAGAGGGGACCAATAACTGGACTTTGGACATGGCTTTGAGAGTGACTGTTTGGAGTGTGCACTGCAGGAAAGCTCAGGCACTTACAGGGTGTTAGCAGGTGGAGGGTCACGTATCCAAAAATCCTAAGAAAATGAAAAAGGAGAGGCTCAGAATTCTCACCCCGTGTCTGAGGAGCCTTTGGGAAGGTGAAGCCTTTAGATGCCAAGAGAGAGAAGCAGAACAGTGATGGCCTCTCCTGCTGCAAGGCAATTCAAGCAGCCACAGCAACTATAGCTGGAAAGAACCACCACTGTCAACAACAGCAGAGGAAAATCCAGTCACCCAGGAAATCTGGAGTACTCAGCCCCAAACAGTCCACAAAACAGTGCCTGTCAAAGAGCCCTGCCTAAAAACTACACACAGACAGGACCTGCAGGGTGTTTGCAGAGGACTCATGGACACAAACCACTGAGGTTTCTGACTCCAGATCTCATTTATTTCATGTTTGGAAAGGGAGGAATAACCAAACAGACGGATAGTTAAAGCAGAAGTGACACCTGGCAACATTATGAGATTCAAATAGCTCATTCCAGGCTTTCCTTTTTCAGGCCCAAGTTCCATTACTTGCTTCAGTGGTTCTTCTCCCTCGGAGCTGATACTTCAAAACTCAGTGCTTTACGATGGGGCCCCTGAGATGCCTTCAGAGGACAAGCACTGCCTCATTTGGCTGATGGAGTTAGTTGAAGCAGTTTTAAAAAAATCCCTGTCCTTGAACAAGTCACGCAGGAACTCAACAACAAAGCCTAGGGAGCCCCATCCTGAATCAGCCATTCCCTACTGAACTGTGCCACTTCCCCAGTCTCTTCCTTTGATCCCAGCTCTTGTACTTTACATTTGGTGCCACGAGCCATGGCAATACCCTGCTAACACACATCCACTGTGTTGTCTTCTAAACCAGCTTGCCATCAGCTCTGCACAGGACATCCATCCTCGAGTGTGTTGACTCAGACTGTAAGTTGCAGACACAAAGTTCAGAGGCCAAACCACCAATCCCACCCCACAGCCGTGCTGTGTGTGCTGGGCTCACCGCCTGTGCCATTAGCCATGCCCGTTACAACTACTGTGTAAACAGAAAGACATTAATAATAATTTTTAAGTGAGGAGAAAATGCTGAATTTCAAGGCTGAGGGCTCAGGTTCAGACCAGCACTCCGCAGTTTCCCTACCTGCTGACCCAGAAGTTGTCTCAGGAGAGGATGCATTTTGCACTGCTGCTTTTTCACTCCTCTGAGCTGATGAAGAATTAAGTTTCTCTTGTCCTTTGACGCTTATTTCTGTTTTGTTACCAACTCCCTTGAAAAGAAGAAAAGGAAAAGGTTGTCTTCCCCTGTGTGTTGCTACCAGGTAATAGATCTGCCCTTGAATCTCAGAACAGAAACAATCAATGCTGTCCAACCCAACACACACACAGGATAAATCTACTACGGAGTCACCTCCCTGCAGAACTTTCCACCCCTCTCGATCTCCCCTTACACACAAGGAAAAAAAAAATTCCAGTGACTTTTCTAAACATTACCTTCTCTATAGGGCTTAGGATGAAATAAACACTCTCCAGGTAGAGAGGCAGAAGGAGGAGGCAGAGAAATAGTCCTAAGCCTTTTCCTTACACTGACTGTGGGAAGCTGCTGTGCACCTGAAGGAAGCTCAGAGGCAGAACTCAATTTAAAAGTCTGTTACACAGAATGTAGTTATCACTTTTTAGTACATTATTAACAGTTTTGTCATCTTATCTGTTTCCCACAAAACCATTGATTTTAAGACTTCCAGAGAATTTCTGGATTATTTCAACTAGGAAGCTGGAGTGAAACAGCTTTAATAATTTCTGGGTGTTGCAAACAAAACTGTGACCATCTGCAAGGAGCTGCTCTGCCACCAGCAAAGCAGTTACTGCCAGAGGTGCACTGAAAGTGGGGTTCAGTGCACTGAAAGGTTCAGCTGTCACAGCTGTTAGACTTAATCTCTCCATTGAAAGGAACATGGATGGTGAAAGCTTGGTGGACACAGTTCCAGCTCCCCAGTAAGGCAGGCTTGGGATAATTCAGGAACGAAAGAGGGTCACCACACCAACCACGTACCTTGGTGGAATAAACAAACTGATCGATGAGTTTTCCATCCCCAGCAGCATTCTGAAGGGCAAAAACCTGTTCAATTTTAACAACCGGAGACATGTTACATTTTTGCAGATCCAGGTTGTGCATGGTTATTGAAGCTGGGAGGGATTTCCTAGCGGCAGCTGTTTTCCAAGCGATTTTCACGGGAGGTGCCTCCTCCTCCTCCACACTGGACTGCCTCCTCTGGCCCTGTCTCCGTGCCTCGGCGCTGGAAGGGGACGATCCTGCCACCACGTTGGCGTGTTCCGGCTGCGTGTTCAGCGCTGGCTTCGGCCGCCGGTTCTTCTTGGCCTCCGCTTTGGAGGCAGCAGTCTTTTTGGCCTTGGCCAAAGCCTCCTCTGGCTCTTGGTCTATGTAAATGAAGGTGTACTGTTCTATCCTCTCCTCCCGGGTCATCTTCAGTGCCTTCTCAGCATGGGCAATGCCAATGTCCCACTGAGCTCGCTCCCTCTGCGGCCTGGGCTTGCGGATCTTAAGGGACAAGGACAAACAGTTGATTACACTGAAGACTTTTGCCACTACAGCACTTCAAATGCAATCCTGAGGGTCTTTACAACTGCCAGGCAGCAGACTGAAGTTTGCTCTCCATTCACGGGGTATTTTTTGACAGATGGACACTGAATTCCCTGCTCAGAGTACAAGCAGACACTCAAGTTGGATCATAAGACCATCACAATTAAGTGTCTGCCCTGAGTTACGACTTCACTAAAGCCAGGCATGGGCAGTATTCAATCTATAATTCCATTATGAGACTTAGCCACTTTTTCAATCCTCCTTATTTTTCCATAAACACTCTTTTCTTTCCACATCAATATTTTGATCAGCATAAATACTGACTGAAGCAGTTCATCTACACAGTAAGTAATTCCTATAGCTAACACTTCCTTTCCAATACAACAATGGGAAAGGAACATATCTGCTAGTATTAGGGGTTGGAATAATGTCCTTAAAATGTATTTTCCAAAGAACAGGCTAATAATGAACACATAAGGTCCTGTTTCTATTTAAAATGCTAATATGGATGTAAGATTATCTCCAATGCTCCACGAGGAGCCAACAAAGCAGGTTCAGCTCTCAGCCTTTTCACATGAAAGTCGTAAGAGTATGGAAACATTTCCATGATCTTTGTGAGAAACACTCCTGGCAGTGCTAGGCAGCCAGCCCTTCCCAGGGTAAAGCACTGCAGAGTTCCAGAGCTGCAGACGACACAGGACTCCCCAGAGCCAGTGCCCCCCATACCTTCTGCTTCTCGGAGTGGTTGCTGGCTTGCTTGGCAGCCTCAGCCAGTAACTGCTCGTACTGTTTGTGCCCCTGGTACTCCCGGACGCGCTTCTCGTGCACCCAGGCCCGCTCCGGCTGGTTGCTGAAGAACTGGACGTGGTATTCCCGGGCACCTGAAAGGGAAAACACCCGTCAGCGCTTGTGTCAACACTGCTCTGCTTGTTCAGCTTGAGCTTTTCTCCCCCCCACAGTTCCACTCCTGCTGGCAGAAGTACCTGGCTGAAGTGCAGAAATCCAACGAGGCTGGATCCAGAACAGTTTAAGGTGGAAGATCAGCAAACCCTGCCCTCACTGAACACTCTCTCACTGACTTGAGAAAAGCAGAAGCACCCGTGCACAAGCCCAGTGTGCAGAGGCTCCTCTGCAGAGGTGATTTACCAGACGCTAGTTCTGGGCACGTCAGGACTGACCTGTTCAGCACACGCAGAACTAACCCCGCAAGGGCAGTGCAAAGATACTTTTAACACAGGAACAGCTACAGACACAGGACACACTACAGCAGAGACCTTCCTCCCTTACCTCTTGTATTAATTTTGGTATGCACGTCAAGCTGGGGATCACATGACACCATGCAAGGCCACCACGGGTACGTCCCCACCTTGGACCAAACCAGATCGCCAACCTGGAACTTGACGTCATGGGGGGCTTGTGTTGGAAGGGACGGCAAGAGCTGCTGGACCTGCAAGGGAAACACCAGATTAATCCACAGGAGGGGACTCAGAGCACTCAGAGATGCACACAGCACCTACTGGGACCTGGTGTTGTTCTCTCAGGTATCTCTGGGGTTCGATAATCCAACACAAGAGAAACATTTCTTAGACTCATGACAGAAAGGAGCTGCACACAGCTGGGATTTACACAACACAGGCACTGACAAACCAAGACACAAAAGAGCAGCCCCCACCACTACCCCAAAAATATCTCTGCTTCCTAAATTGGTTAAGAATGTTGCTTTTGAGATAAAATGAAGCAATAAATCCAGTACAACGAGAGATGCATTAATGCAGCAACGATTAGTAAAAGTTTCAAAGAAATGGCAACTGATTTATCACACAATTTAAGGGATCAGTGGAATAAATAGTCAAAAAATAGTAACATTCTGTAAGTTCCAAAAGTGTTAATTGGTGTATGTACTAACCGGGGCTTCCTCCAGCACGGCTTCTTCTCTTGGTCTCTCTGAGGGCGTGCTAAGCCTCTCATTTGGTCTCTAGGAAATGGGTAACAACAAAGAGAAAAGAGGAAAACAAACACAAACAAGGTAAGGGGACAGTAAAACAACACAAGATAATAGTGAAACCAGGCAGAAAAAAATTAATCACTGAGAGAAAGGCAACCATGAACCCAGAAAACATGAACATGGCGATTCCTTGTGCCCAATTCAAAACACAGTAACATCACAATCAAAAAATACCTGTTTTCCCTTACACTATTTACATTACAATCACACCTGCATACAACAATGCTCTCCTGTAACAGGTGACAGAAGAACATACGCTCAGGGACAGCAAATCCAAATAACTCTCCACCTAAAATAACACACAGCTTCAAAAAATCCCTGAGAACTACATGTGAGGATATCCACAGTAACGTGGCGAGTCCCACATAAAACACCATTTACCCTAAAGATGACAAAAGTGACACGAAGATGAAGTCATGCAGTGGAAAGCACACTGGTGGGAGGACGGACCTGAGACTGCCCCAGCCAACTCATACCAAAAACCACCAGCAGAAAACCCTGTTCCTGTCACAGCACTCTGTGTCTGGGACAGGGGTGGGTACCACGAAACATTATTGCAACACCACCTTTGGAAAGGGAAATGGAAGCCACAAGGAGGACAAAAGCAAGACCAAATGACACAAATGACTAGGAACTTGGAATCTGAGAGAAAAGGTTTTAGTTCAATCTGAGAAAGACAGCAGGCTGGAAAAGACAGAAGATTCCGTTCTTGTGATGAGCAGGTAACAGCAGCCAAACAGAGGGACAGGCACAGCTGAAGCTTCAGGAGAGAACAGGATTTCCTGGTAATAGGGGGGACAGTCTGATGTGGGGTGACAGAGTCTGGAGGAGAGGCCAGAAAGCAAGTACAGCCCAAGCATGAGGGAGATGCCACTTGGGAAGTGCCTCCTGGCAGCAGCTGCCAGTGGGACACAGCAGCTCTTCCAGTCACCTCACAGGGGCTCCAACAGCACCTCCAAGAGCAAAAAAATCCTGTCCCACTGCAGCCACGGATGGCTCAGATTTTAAGTGGACAGTCCATTCCAAGTTTGAATGACAATGTTTATTAAGACCTTACTGAGCTTCGTTAGTCAACTATGATACTCAAACGTGGTAGATGCTCAAAATCTCGACACATCATCAACCTGGTGTCTGGGAGAGTCCAATTCCCAGGAGCAAGGTGGAACAGTTATAAACTTGTAAATACTCCTGGTGAGGGTGTGGATGTGAAACCAGCCCATCTTCCATTGAAAACATTGCCACCACTATCACTCCATCAAGCATAGGACCCGCTCTACCAGATCAGAGCCCTGATCCCTGCAGGACAGGATCTCCTCCCAAACCTCCCAAAAGCAACAGGCACCAAAGGCTTTTTACAAGAAACTCAGCTATGTTCTGTAAGAGTACAGCCCAGCCTGTGCTGGGCAATTTCTGTCCTGGCTGGATACAACTTCCCCATTCCGGGCACTCGCCAGCCTCTCTGCCACCCGTTCCTTCAAACTGGGAGAGGCAGAAACCAGCCCACAGAGCGGGCAGGAACAAGCAAGAGAAAAGGAAACAGAAGGACTGAAGTAGCTTATGAAACAGAAAGAAAAAGGAGGAGAGATCAGGGAGGTAACTCGTGTCTTTGCTTCCTGGAATCTCAGTTAACACCACCTGATGTACATCCCCTGGATGTGGACAACATGGTATAAAACCTGACAGAAACAGGAACAGACAGCAATACTGAATCTTCCCAAAGTGTGCTGAGTCAGCTGGTACTTCTCATTCCCCTGCTGTTTTAGAATACTCATTTTTACTAGGTCTGCCTATGCTACACAGCTCTTGGTTTTGTACACCACAATATTTAGAATATCTTTCAAAGATTAATTAAATGTCAAAGTGCTGAATATCCCCCAGTAACCTGACTTTCCACTGAATAATCCAGCACTATTTTGAAAGGCAATTTTAGGAACACGTGTGCTTTTGTCCCAAAGTTCCATCTTCAACACTGGCCAGAGCACTGCAAGCTCTAACCATGCTAAATCATTGAATAATATTTAGAAAATAATATATAGCCTTTTCTAACATTTATTTTTCATATGCAGTCTTTTAACCAACACTGTGCTGTCCTACAAACACAGCTCCTGGCAGCCTCATCCCGAGGATCTGAGGAGTAAGGAAAGGCTCGGGACTCAGCGTGTGCCCAGCCAGAGCCAGGAGAAACCCTGCTGGGCTCCAGCAGCACTACCAGGGGTACAGATGGCTGAAATTAGCATTCCACTTACATTTTGCTCCTCTGGTTCTAATTTTGGAATTTTGTGCGACTTGCGCTCTTCCGACCGGGAAGAGTCGTGCTTGCTACTCTTTTTCCTTTTCTCTTTCCTCCCCTCGTGTTTCGCCTTAGCGTACTCCCTCGCCTGCACTTCGTTCAACAGGTCCCCACACAGGGAGGACTCAAACAATTCCCTGCCGTTCTGGATAGTTTTGGTTATTTTGAGTTTGATCTCTGGTGAGCCAGTCTTCTTTGGAATCCCCACTTGTGGAGCCGAGGGGGGGGGCGGAGGCGGCGGCTGGGGAGGGGAAGGTTTCTCCAGAGCTTCGTGCGGCCTCGCGTTAGAGTTCTCCATCTGGTAATACTCCGGGGGGCTGAAGTTCCTGACTGCCCCAAAGCCGTTGGCCGAGCCGTTGGGATACTGAGCGTACGTCTGGTATTTGGCTTGGGGCTCGTACATGCCGATGGCCGGGGGGTACCCGTTGGTGATGGGGGGCAGCTCCTCCGCCGTGGGCGTGGGGTACTGGAAGCTTTGCTGCAGCGCCGGCTCGTACGGCGTCCGGCCCCCATCCTCAGCAATGTCACTGCTGCCATCAAAGGCCTCCTCTTGGCGGATGTTGGCGGAGTCAATGAGTTGAGGTGGTTGCTGAATTGTGTTTCCCATGATCCCTTGCATGAAAGAGAAAGAGAAATCCATTGTTCTGCTCCAGCATCCTTAGCTTTCCCTTTTTCTCATAGGGCCTAGAGGCAGGGGAAGGGAAATAAGAAGTCAGTGTAAAGTAAAAAACAATAATTAAGCAAATTAAACTGTTGATGAAAAAAGGGATCTTGAGACCAACGTCCCGCTCTCCATTCAGCAACCACCCTCACGTGGATTTAGAAGACTGGTCTTACTGAGCTTTTAAAAAGGGTTACTGACACATCTTTCACGTGACCACTTTCTTCTTTTCCAAGACATTTAATGAAATATCAGAAGATGAAATATGAGTGCTCAAAAACTGAGCCCAAGTGTCACAAAGTCAGAATGGTGCCAAAATCCCACCACTCTCTACAGCCCTCCCAGTTCTGCACTAGGAAGGGTTATTTCAACATGAAGCAGCTGGACAGCACTTTCACCCTCCAGCACACAGGAGACACAGAGCTCTCCTGACACCACAGTCACTGCAAACTGCACGAGCCAGAAACACCAACTCAAACAGAGGAACCTCTTTGCCTCCTCCCTCTCTGATTCCTTGCTAAATTCGAGGCATAAGCAGCCCTTAGGCCAGGAGGACCTGAGCCATGGGCTGCTCTGACCATGGCACAACGTAAGCAAGTGGGTCACTCCACCTCAGCTGCTGGAAAACCCCCTCATGTCCTGCAGCAGCCTCAGATGAAGCTGCCCAACCTCTTCCCTCCTCAGAAAACCAGAGCAGAGTTTGCACTCACTGGCTCTCAGCAGCTACATGAGGAGGGTTATTCACATCTCCCTCCCACTTTGTTTTAATATAAAGCACTATGTGGTTCTGAGCCTCAGCATCAACAGATCTCCAAACCCTGAGGTTACTCACGGAATGAGATTCCAGCTGAGCACTGGCACACACACCTTCAGAGTTCCAGTGCATACTGAAACACCAAAATCCGACTAAATCAAAGTTAGACTTCCAAAACTCAACTGCTGGCTCGGAGAAGGCGTTGGCATTCATCTAAAGCAGCTCGATGTTCAACAAGAAGCAACACACAGTGACCTGACCTGCAGGTAAGAAACACCTGTTTGCTTCCCACAAGGTCAGTTCAGCCCTTCCAAAGCAAACACAGCCCCATGGTATTTGTTCTGCCTGTGTGGGCACACAGGAGGGTTACTGTGCCCTGTAGGTCTGGGTTTGAAACAGCATTAACGCGTCCCACAGACACTTCTTCTAACAGGGATCTCCACAAATCCCTGCCCACGTGGAATTCTCACCCTCCCAAAGCTACGCATCTCAACACCTTAGCTAAGAGCTTTCCACACACAGGGAACTTCCCTCCTCAGAGACTGAAAAAAGCAACTGAAATTATAACAGGAACAAGAACTTGATCAGATTTGTGATGCATATTCCGGGGCCTGCACACTCAGATTAAACTGATGTTCACATTCATCTTCACTGCCCTGTGACACCAACTCGGGGCTCATCTGTCACTTCGTTTGTAATTAAGACGCTCACACCAAAGCACAATAACCAATAACAGCACAAGGCTCTGCAGCAGAATTCACTCATTGCAGGAACTTTTAAATCTCAGGGTTGTGAAAGCATCCCTTCCTCCACAGCTCTGTAGAGCAGCCACCAAACCGACACAACTGTCACTCTCAGGGGACGTGGATCTTTGGGGCAGCACGTGGGATTGCACAGCAAGGTCAAAAACCCCAAACCACGCCCGTTCTGGGAAGAGGAAGTAGAACTGTTTGTACTATTTACCACCAAATTGTTACTTTGCATTTGCCAAACCAAAGAGCAAACAGCAGATTTCCCACCGGGCTTTATTTTTAACTAAACCCGGGTTCAATCTTTTTTCGTTTCTGAATAGTTATTAAAAAATCTTGTCTTGAGAAGCTGTGACAGTGCTCCAGGCACATCCACGGCTGGCAGGGCAGAGTCCCAGCTGCCAGTGCAGCTCCCACAGGCACTGGCTGCAGAGGTGGCTGTCAATGCACTTTGTTTTGATATGTGACAAAAGTGTGGATTGAACTTCAAAACACTACTTACACCGGATTTAGGCGCTACCAGTCAAAGAATATAGCTCTGATTTTCTCCTTTTTCACTCCTTCTGGAGCTCACCTGTGTCACTCAGCCTTGGGGCCAGTCTGTGCTGCACAGCTGGGACACCCAGGCCCGAATTCGTGCCTCAGTAACTCGCTGCAGGCTGAGAACCAGGCCCACAGCTCCACTGAAGTGCTCTCAGCAGCCCCAAAGCACCCGAGGCCACTCTCCTCCCACAGCTCTGACATCACCGAGAGCTCCTTCCTGCCCAGTCTCTCCCTGTCATCACTGTTAACACACCCAGACTTTCCCACCCTCCTGCCTGCCCCAAACTCTGCTGCAGTGGATCAGTTCCCAGACGCTGCCCAGGGAAGTGGCATCTGGGCAGCGTCAGTGAGAGGACAGGCCCTGGAGCCATCCAAATAACAGCACACAGGGAGGAATCCTGAGCTACAGCACTCTCAACATCCAAACCTAAGGAAGGATTGCTTTGCATAATCCCTCCAAGCATTAATGCAGAGAACACCCCACTGTCACTGAAGAGAGCTGTCCCTGCAGCAGAGCAACGGCACCCAAACCACAGGGGAATGGGATTTCCAGCTGATCTTGCACAAAGGTGTTCCAGAATAAATTCTTCTCACTACACCAGCAATTACTCTATTAACACACAGCATCAGCCTCCTGTGAGCTGTACAATTTGGCTTCCAAACATGACCCACAACAGATATTGGACTGATACAACACTGGAGCTCGACAGATAAACAGCTCCATCACTTCCAGGTTTACAGGAAATGGACACTTCACAGCAGCTGGAAACAACATGGAATCAACAACGAAACAACTTGAAATCAACACCTTCAAAGCTGCAACTGAATTTCTTAATGAGAGAAAGAGTTTCCTCTTTAAAACTGCCTATCCCTTCCCAGGGCTGACAGGGACACAAGACTGTTTACAAACAATGAGACTACACAGGGACATTGCTTCAGTAAATATTTTCCTGTTGCTCACGTGAGAGTCACAACTCAAAGTATCAAAGGAAAAGGTAAATGACATAAAACATATAAGCAGTACAGGATAGGGCAAGTCAGCCCAGTAGAGCTCTTCCTTAAGTGAACACTGCTGGTTTCACTTCCCATTCGGAGCTTCTGAGCTCGACTGAGCAGAGCTTGAACAGTCAGTTCCACCTCCGACAGCGAGTGCTCAGTCACGGGAAGGTTTCACAGAGATTATGGATCCTCCTGGTCCACATTTTCACCAACAACTGCACTCCTCTAAAGCAAGTTTTAGCATGAGAATTTTGCAACTTTGCTCTCAGAAAACAAACCTATAGTTCTTAAACCTTGCTCTCGTGCTGCAGGAGACTAAATAACAGATTATCAAACAATTCCAGCCCCACATGATTGCAGCTTTTCTTCCTCCCAGAGAGGGAGTTCCATGGGTTTGGCTGAGGCTGGCTGTGGCCACAACAGGGAGAGACACAGCAGCTACTGATAAAAGTCCAGTACAGACATATTTTAAACCTTTTTTCACCCTTTTCTGTTGACAATCCCAACGTGGGGTTACCCAGTCACAGGGAGGTGTTTTACAGATGGCAAGTGTGTGCTGTGAGGCAGGACCTGGCCTGTCAGCTCCCTGAGGAGCTGGGAGCTCTGCTGTGAGTCAGCCCTGTGTGCTCAGAGCACTGTCACTGCCTCATCACCCTGAGCTGGGCTTTCTATCAACAGGCTCAAAAGCAGAAGTTCTTTATGTACAAATAGCAACTTAGCTCCTCTCCACACAGACCTAAATCAGAGAGAGTCAAACCTCTGCTCGCATCCTACCATCCCTCCTTACCCTCCAGATGTTCACTGCCATTTTCTGTGCTGTTTCACTCCCAACACATCCAACCTGCACTGCTGCTGGTCCCCTCAAGCACCCAGTCCATGCAGCAACTGCTCTCAGTGGCTGCTCACTGCTGCAGGTGTTTGACAGACACACAAACAGAGCTGCCTGGCTGGACAAGCCAGGCTGGGCAGGTGTTTGAAGTGATGCAATCACTCCTGCCCTCTGAAAACCTTAAGCCTGCAGTTCACACACAGCCCTGCACCTCCCTTCTCCCCAGAGCTGAGCATTCCCAGTGCTTCCAGTCACATCAAACACCACCCAGAGGGACACTGTTATCACCTGGAACAGCATCCTGGGGTGTTGGAATTGCGTGAACTGCAGACAGAAATAAACAACTGTTCCTACTGATCCCTGGGCCCAGCCTGTGCCATCTGCTTTGTCCCACTCTGCTCTGCGTGTCCTTAGCAAATCCCACAGGCAAAGCTCTATTTACACACACTAACACAGCACCAAGTTTTCACTTGCACAGGATTCCTTAACAGGAAACCTGCAGCCTGTGGATTTCTCCTGACTCCAGCTGGACTGAGCTGTCCCTCCTGGCAGACAGTGGAGGTGAATCAGAGGCCTCTTGACAAACCTTAAAGCATGAGGTGAGGCTGCTTCCCTGTGCACCTTTGTGAAGGTGGTTTGTGTTTGGTTTTTGAATGCCAGAAGAAACAGTCACGTCTGTAACTGGGTTTGATAAGGCCACTTTGAACAAGTTTCCCACAGTGCCATGGAAAGAAACAACTTGGCCAGCAGAGAAAAGGGGTTTGTCTGGAAAAGGAGCTTAGAGACTCGTCTGGTTTGAGAACCGCGGGATTCAAAAGGGAAAGGTGGAGCAAAATCTTTGGTTCTTCAGGGAAAGTCACAGGCTGAGACTGACATGAAACCACAAGGCAGATCTCTGGCAACACCAAGCACTGTAATGTCGTGGCAGGCTGTCACAGACCACAGCCAGGGCAAGAACCACAACATGTCTCATGAGAATCACCTCAAACTCAGGCAAAGCTGCCCAACTGAAAATTGCAAAATAAATATATTTGTATTAAAACAAAACATACAGCCTTTGACCATCATCCTCCACTCTTACCCTGTACCTTCATAAGGCAGACAATCAGGTTTTGGAGTAAAATCTTTTCAAGCAGCTCATTAAAGCATTTAATAAAAAAATCTACCCACCAAAGCATTCACTGTTGCATCTCTACAAAAGGCCACTAAACAGTCATTAAAACAGACTTCAATTTTTCCTTCAACTATGATTACTGGCTACTTCATGTTGTCCTTTGGGTTGGCTGGTGTATACACAACTACGTTATCATTTTTTTTTAACAACAAATTGCATTGAAACGAACGAGTGTATTGACACCTACACAGAAAGCGGAGCGAGACCACAACAAAGTGCAGCACAACGCAACAGCACCGAGAAAAAAAAACCACTCCCCCCCCCAAAATTCGAGCAACAACAACAACAAACCCGCGAACGGCAACCCCCTTTCTTCTGGGGGGTGGAGGGGGTCACCGCTTGGGTGGAACGCCGAGTTTCTGCCCCGCAGCCGGCCGGGGCTCGGCCGCGGGGCCGGAGCGGGGAGAGCGGGGCCGGCCCGGGGGGGGGACGCGCGGTGGTCCCCGGCCCTGCCCGGGGCCGTGCCCGGCCCGGCGCCGCCGCCGCTCCCGCAGTAACATGGCGGCCGCGGCCCCTCCGCCCCGGGGCCGCCGCGGGCCCGCGCTCACCTTCAGTCACTTCCATTCTCACGGCCCCGCCGCGTCCGCCCGGCCCCGCGCAGACAAAAGGCGGCGGCGGGGGCGGCGCGGGGCCTCCGCCTCCTCCTCCTCCCGCCGCACCAGCGAAGGCCGCGGCGGAGCCCCGGCCTCGATTTCCGCGCCCCCGCCGCTGGCGCCGGGCTCCGCCCCGGGGGGGGAGGGAGAGAGGGAGGGAGGGAGGGAAGGAAGGCCGCCCGCCCCCAGCGCCCGGCGCGGCCGAGGGAGGCGCTGGCGGGGCCCGGCGGGTCGCGGCCGAGGGCGGGCGCTGGCGGCGGGGGGGGACGTGCAGAGCGGCCGCTGCCGGTGCGGCCCCGCCGAGCGCCTCCGCCTCCGCCCGCCCCCCGCCGCCGCCGCACCGCGCCGCCGCGCCGCGCACGCGCCACACGCGCCCCCCCATTGGCCGCCCCGGGCGGCTCCTGCCGCGGGGCACCACGGGAGATGTAGTTCGCGGGGGGTCCGGGCTCCTCGGGACATGAAACACAACTGAGGAGGGTCCCACAGGGGCCACGGAGATCATGAAGAGTCTGGAGCGTCTCGCTGATGGGGAGAGAGTGCGGGAGCTGCGCCTGGTTAGTCTGGAGAGGAGAAGGCTGAGAGGGGTTCCATGAATGCATACATGTATGCCATGAATGCATACACATCTCATCAATCCATACACATATGTCATCAATCCATACACATATGTCATCAATCCATACACATATCTTGAAGGAGATGGTTCCAGACTCTTTTTGGTGGTGCCCAGCCACAGGACGAGGAGCACTGGCCATGAACTGTAGCACAAGAAGTTCCAGCTCAACGCGAGCTCCCCAAGAGATCGAGCACGGGCTGAGTGGTGATTCCCAAATGCTGGAGCTCACCCTGGGTGGCGATGGGCTGGGCTGGAGGGCAGTAATAAAGGGAATGTAAAGAGTGGTTAGGCTCGCTGCTGCAGGGACCTCCCTGAAGGCCCGCGGGAACATCCATGTGCCAGCCTCCACAGGAACAGGAGAGCTTCCCCTCGTTCCCGGCCTTTCCAGGCTAAGCCCCCCCAGCACAGGGCACGGTCACGGCCCAGCTGCCATCGCCTCCCGCGCCCCCGTGACGTCACGCGCGACCACCCGCCCCACGAGGCGTCACGCACCCAACCCGTGACGTCACCGCCCACCCGCGCACCGCCCCCGTCTTCGCGCAGCCAATCAGCGGCTTCTTTTGAGGGCGCCTCCGGGTCAGGCCCTGCCCCTGCCCCGCTCCCATTGGGCGGGCCTTGGGCAGGGCCGCAGTGCTGCCTTCTGATTGGCTGATGCCGAGCGGAGGGGCGTGGCGCAGCGCGATGGCGTGACCTGCGTGGGGACCACAGAGAGTGGGGGGGCGACGGGTCAGAGCGGCGCGCGCGGGGCAAGACGGGACGGGCGGGGGGGGCCGGGAGGAGCGCGGCCGGCGGTGAGGGAGACCGGGACCGGGATCATCGGGATCGGGACCGGGGAGGGGCAGCGCGGCCCCGTCCCGGCGTTCCCCTCGCTCCCGGCAGCGGGACGGGGATGGGTCCGGCCGGGCCCCGGCGCCCCCCGCCGCCCCCCGGCCGCTGCCGGGAGTGAGGGTCCCACCGCCCCCCGGTCCATCCAGCGCAGCCATGGCCTGCGGCTGTCACACCCTCCTGGCTGTGGCCAGGGTCAGGTAAGCCCCGCAGCCCCTCCCGGGGGGGGTCTGGGCCCTGTGCTGGGCTTAGCCGCGCTGGGCTGGGGGTGAAGATTTGGTGGTGGGTTTTTTTTTGTTTCCAACTGGCACGTTTTATCCCGTTCTGTTGGTAAAAGAGCTCCCGGGAGGCACTGTGGGGCCTTGGGTTATTCTCCCGCAAGAGAAGGGTTGTTAGCACGGGACGAGTTCTCAGTATTTCACCTCTTGCTGAAGGATCTGTGTCTCGGCCACAAAATCAGTTTCACAAGTTGACCTGGCGCTGAGAACGTTGATTTGGGGGTGACGCCTCGGCCTCCCTGCACTGTTCTCACTGAAACACCTCTCCAGTTTCAGGGGCTCCCATCTCCTCACACCCTCCAGCCCCTCGTTCTCTCCAGCCCTCGCCCTCGTCCAGCTGGTGGATTCCCAGTTATCCTGGACTTCCAGAGACTCCCAAGCCCCTCCTTGGGCGCTCCGTGCCCGCCTGGGCGCTGCCCTGCCCCGCTCACCTGCCCACACCCTGCACACCTGCCCCTGCCCGCGGCGGCAGCAGCAGCTCCGAGGGGAACCTCCGTCCCCCGGGAATCCCGCGAGCCAGGGAAGCAAACCCGCCCGAACGCCGGCGAAACAGCTCGTGGAGGCTGCCCCGGGGAAGAAGCCTCTGCGCCAGAGGGTCGTGGATGAGCTGAAGCACTACTACAACGGGTTCCACCTGCTCTGGATCGACACCAAGGTGGCTGCCAGGATGGTGTGGAGGCTGCTCCACGGGCAGGTGCTCACCAGGAGGGAGAGGCGGAGGGTAAGTGCCACAGCACCCGGCTGAAGTGGTGCAGTAAGAGGTTTAGCTGCTCCTTTGGACACATTTTGTGTGTCTGGCTGAGTGATAATCTCAGGATAATCTCTGCTGTGCTCTTCTCTGGACAGCTGCTGAGAACCTGTGCAGATCTCTTCCGGCTGGTTCCCTTCCTGGTGTTTGTCATTGTGCCCTTCATGGAATTTCTGTTACCTGTGTTCTTGAAGCTCTTCCCTGAAATGCTGCCCTCGACGTTTGAGACGGAGTCAAAAAAGGTTTGTGTCCTGCCTGAGGCTGTGGAGTGTGTGCACAGCTCCTCAGAACATCTGTGCAGCTGCACAGAGCTGCTGTTCCCTGGAAGCGAGGATCAGCCTCACCCACGTGTCCGGGTCAGACATTCCCAGCTTATTCCTGAGCTGAACAGCAGGGCTGGGAGGTTGTGCTGTAGGGATCAGCAGGAATGTGCACAGCAATTCCATTTCCTACAGTAACCAAAGCCTGGTGCTTTCAGAACCGAAGTCTTATTTCATCTCTTTCCCAGAATCTCCTCCCACCTGTTTTCCAAATGGAATTTCTAATTATGCTTTATTTCCCGGAGTGAAGGAAGAAAAGCAGAGGAAGAAGCTAAATGCAAAGCTGGAGTTAGCAAAGTTCCTGCGGGAGACCATTGCTGAGATGGCCAAAAGAAACAAAGCAGACACAGGACAAGGGAAACAGTTCTCCTCGTACCTGCACGAGGTAGGACGGGCCGTGCTGGGGGTGGCAGCCGTGGGCAGAGAACACAGGATTTGGACTGGGGTTGTGGAGAGGTTTGGCAGCACAGGGCTGCCCTGGCAGGGGCTGGTACCTGGGTGCCTCCTGCAGGTAGCACCTGCTGACCCCGCTGTCAGAGCTGCACTCACTGGAATTCTCATCCTGGAACAGTGGAAGTTTCACCCAGTGCCCACTCCAGAACAGTTTCACTTTGACTTTTAACTGTATCACCCTGTTTCCATCAGAGACAGGAATTCCAGTGTGAGAAGCGGGAAGAGGGAAGGGAAGGAAGGGGGTTCCCAAAGGGTGATCCTGCTGAGGTTTGGCTTTTGGCCCTTGGTTCAGATCCGTCACAGCGGCCACCAGCCCAGCACGCAGGAGATCGTCCGCTTCTCCAAGCTCTTCGAGGATGAGCTGACCCTGGAGCACCTGGAGAGGCCACAGCTGGTGGCTCTGTGCAAACTGCTGGAGCTGCAGCCCATCGGCACCAACAACCTGCTCCGCTTCCAGCTGCTGCTCCGGCTCAGGACCATCAAGGCAGATGATGAGGTGGGTCTGAAACAGCACAGAGGAGCTGCTGGGTGGAGCGTGTGCTCTCAGGCTCTGCCCTCTGAGCCACTGCTGGCTTCAGGTGTGTCCCTGCCCTCCCACCAACCTCTGGGGTGAAGTTTAATAGGAGTCAGATCATCTCCATCAGAGATCCCAGAATAAAACAGAATGAGAGTTCTTCTCCTTGCACCCTTGCAGCCTTTGGGGAACCGTAACAAAGGTGTCACTGCAGATATTGTCACTGTTTAAAACATTTCGTTCTGGAGTCATGTTAACTTGTAAAAAAGGGAGGTTCCAGTTCGGGAATGAATATTGTATGGGAGCAGCAGATTTTAAACAACTGAATTCATTAGGAGTTTATGTTAGTGTATAAAGTGGCTGGATTTATTTAGCCTGGGGAGGGCCAAGGGTCCCCTTGTGGTTTTCAGCTGCATAATGGGGTTATTTAGAAAATGGAACCAGACTCACAGGTGCAGAACGGAGGGATAACAGGTAATGGCCATAAGTTGCAGCAAGGAGAACTCCAACACGATAAGAAAAAGAATTAAAATCAGTGAGTGTGTAAACAGTAAAACGAGTCATCTGGAGGTCGTGAAATCCCCATCCCTAGAGAGGCTCAAGGCACAGATGGAAAATGCTGAGCAATTCTGAGCAGGAGCTTGGACTGGGGACTCCCAGAAGTCCCTTCAGGTGCGTCAGGGGCTTGGCTTCCCCCGAGCGTGGGTAGGAAGGTTCCTGTCCCTTGCAGATGATCGCCAAGGAGGGGGTCGGCGGGCTGAGCGTGCTGGAGCTGCAGAGCGCCTGCAGGGCCCGGGGGATGCGCTCCCTGGGCGTCTCCGAGGAGCAGCT